AATTCAGGTGAAAAGAAAAAAAGTTTAAAAAAAGGAGTTTGACAACAAAGGAAGAATAAGAGTGTGGTTTAAACGTATGCTCACGATGATTACTTACAGCTGAAGTTACCCAGAGTGAATGATTTGCAGTAAACACAGTAAGAATGGCCATTTAAAGAAGCAGGTCACTTCGAAGGAGCAGGAACCAAGGCTGAAATACAACAGGTTTACACAAGTGCAACCGACCTGGGTGATACTGAGTCGCCTGTCATCGCCAAGCCTGATCTGCCATCTTTTTTGCCAGCTTCTTCCTCAGGGAGAAGGGGGAACTAGCACGACTCCTACATATGGGGATAACCACGTGTGTTTAGTTTGAGACAAAGTGGACTGTCACAGAGGTCCGATATCCCGACTGGATAATTCAGCTGGAAGAAGAGTAATTTTAGTGTTTATAGCTCAACCTCCTAAACACCAGACTATACATAGTGAAGGGGAGAACAACCTTTATTGGAGACAACACAAGTTTATATACACAGACTCCCCCACCCCCCTAGCATGAGGTCTCCAGCAAAGGTACAAAATGCATTGTAAAAATGTGTAAAGGGTCAAAAATGAATATTTACCCTTAGAACCCTTATAGCTGCAGATAAAAAGACTCCTCCTTGTCTTTATGGCAATACAGCAAAAATACAAATATCTACAGGTACAAAAAAACGTAATATAGGGCAGGATTTTATTTAGACCAGTATAGGCTGTAAGCTATTGCATTGATAAGAAATATATTCATTGCAGATACATCACCCAATAATGGGGATAGCATGACCAATTATTTCACATATCTTTTCTTACTTTTAGAATTCTATTGTTTCTTTTTCAAATTTACTGGACCCTTCTAGGTCCCAGAGTTTAATAATGATGTCTCCTGTTATACGTATTGTGAACAGCAAGAGATCGCCCTACAAAAGAAGTCTAAACATGACTAGGGTAACTTGAGCCATTTGAAGAGACTGGGTATAGTCCGTTATATGAACACTGGTGAGTAGTGATGTCCCGAACGGTTCGCCGCGGACCGCGAACATATGCGCTTTTCGGTCCGCCCCCTATTCATCATCATTGAGTAAACTTTGACCCTGTACCTCACAGTCAGCAGACACATTCCAGCAAATCAGCAGCAGACCCTCCCTCCCAGACCTTTCCACCTCCTGGACAGCTCACTAAGAATGCAGCTTCACAATGAATGTGAAATGGATGCTGTCCAGGAGGTGGGAGGGTCTGGGAGGGAGGGTCTGCTGCTGATTGGCTGGAATGTGTCTGCTGACTGTGAGGTACAGGGTCAAAGTTTACTCAATGATGACGAATAGGGGGCGGACCGAACACCGCGGCGAACCGTTCGGGACATCACTACTGGTGAGACCTCACTTGGAGTATTCACCGTATCTCCAGAAGGATATGGATACTTTGTAGAGAGTTCAGAGAAGGGCTACTAAACTGGTTCATGGATTGCAGGATAAAACTTACAAGGAAAGGTTAAAGGATCTTAACATGTATAGTTTGGAGGAAAGACGAGACAGGGGGGAGAAATGATAGAAATATTTAAATACATAAAAGGAATTAACACAGTAAAGGATGAGACTATATTTAAAAGAAGAAAAACTACCACAACAATAGGGCATCTTAAATTAGAGGAGCAAAGGTTTAAAAATAATATCAGGAAGTATTACTTTGCTGAGAGCGTAGTGGATGCATGGAATGGCCTTCCAGCTGAAGTGGTAGAGGTTAACACAGTGAAGGAGTTTAAGCATTCGTGAGATAGGCATAATGCTATCCTAACTATAAGATAAGGCCAGGGACCAATAAAAGTGTATAGACAATTGGGCAGACTAGATGGGCCGAATGGTTCCAATCTAACGTCACATTCTATATTATATCATAGACAGGTAAGACGTGTATGAATTGGGACTATTCTACAGATTATTCTACAAAATAATTTCTGTGTCAGACGTGCAGCAACAGATAAATATGTGTTTTTTTTAAATTCCTTCATAAAGATTGATGTTTAAATTGGCCAAAAGGTGAGTTTGCCCCCCTGAAAAATAATATTTTGTAAAGATAGAATCTTCATAAAATACTCATTATGACTGTGTTGGAACTTCCCTGACATTTCAACCCAGTCAAGAGCTATACAAAGACAAAACAGGGAGTACTTTGTCTCTGAATTTCTCCTCCGCTTGACTTTTCAGGACACAAGGTGGAACCAGTGATGGCTGCAGGAAATTGGCTGTGTCTATGGAGGATCCTGCAGGATACCCCATTAGCCTCAATGCTGTACTCTCATAGACCTCAATGCTGTACAGCAGTGACGCCAAAATGGTGACGCCCACGAAGGAGAGGTTCCGGTAAGTTAACACACCTTTATCTCTCCCCAGCAGCCACCAGACATCCAGAGGCATTGTCACTCAAACATTGACAGTGCTGCTTTAAGCCTTCCTCCTTCCTGTACCTCCTTCCAGAAAGCTAAGATGGGGCAAAAGTGCATAAAGTCTGCAGAATACAAATCTTTTTATTTTTAACTGTTGCTGCTGTAAAATGATTTGTTTGTCATTTAATTTTCTTTTGTGCGTCCTGTCGCAATTTTTTTTTTGTTTATAATAATCCTTAATAAGTTGTGCCTGTGCCAGGTAAAGACTCACATTGACTGAAGAGTCCCACCTGATAGCATTTTTGATTACATAGAGATTTTGCTAGCTTGTGTTTGTGGCTTGTGTAATTTAATTTCCTTGGGGAACCAAGGTAGGCAATTAAAAAAAATGTCATGGTGATGGTAGCTTTTGACTTAAGTGTAGGTGGTGTTAAGTGGAATTTTTTAATCATTTTTTTTCGGTCTAGTGCAGAGAAATAGTGCTTTTAACAATTTCATCCCCAGAACCAAGTGATGATAGAGTAGTGTGCATTGTGACAGAAGGGACATGTTTAATGTCACCTTGTGTTCTACTCTTCTATATGCCACTAGAATGGTCAGGCTTTCTGAATAACCCTGTCTCAGTTTCAGAGAAAAGTTACAGACGTGCATCTGCCCTCAAGAACAAAGTGCAGAATTCTAAATGGCATGGAAGATGCAATTGTCATCCTTTCCACTGCAGATTCTAATTGCTGGTTTGAAAATGATTTCTTCCTGCAGGGAACTAATTGTACCAGGAGATGTCGCTCTCTACCAACGTCTAAGAAAACAATTAACGTGTGTCTGAAACTTGTTCCCCCTGCCACACACCATGCTACTGACATGTTATCTTTATAATTATATTGAATGCGCTGTATCCGTGGATCCTGTAACCAATGTAAACATAAAACGTTAAACTGGGAAACCGGCTGAGGCAATATAATGCATGCTTCTATTTTTATCAGTATAATAATTTTCAGATCAGGAAGTAATGCATTTTGTAAGCTGTGGATGTGCTTTGGTTTCTGGTTCAAAGGTTTACTATCAGTAAGCAAAGAAGGGGGGGGGAGAGTAGAGGAAAGCTTTTTTTTTTTTTTTTTGCTTGATCATTTTGGTATCTAACTGAGGTCAACAAGGTAGTTAGTGTTAATAGATCACAGAGAGACTGGCCTCACTCTGACACGGCAAATTATGGTTTCAGGTCTACAGAATGGGCAATTCCGTGAAAAAAGGAAAAGCTGTTTTTGTGGAACCCACACAGGTTAAAAGCCTACAACTTTACAAAGCAGGTAAGACTATCACTGAGCGACGGTGACACTGTATCCATGTATTATAACAATATCAATTCTATTATAAACTGTGGGGATTGAATCATATGAGGGAGGTTATGGTGTCTGTGGATATTATTATCACTGGACATGCAAAAACACTCAATTACGTTTTAAGGATTTTCTGAAGTATTTTCCCTGTAACCAAATTTTTCTGCGTATTCGTCTTAAAAAAAATAAATAAAAATTCATGATGTTTGCTGTCAAACTGCGTCTGCGTATAATTGGTCCCTGTCCTTAACAGTCTGTAAAAACTAGTTCGAGAATTTAATACTGATTAAATGAAAAACTCCAGGCACCATAACTACTGCAGCGCACTGCACCGCAGGGCTTGTCTCAGACGGAGAGCTCCCTGTTGGACGTAGTACTGCGGGGAGCGGTGCTTGGTTCTAAAATGGCTTGAATGCTTACAATGGGGGACACGTGGCATCATAACCATTACAGTGTGCTGTAGTGGTTATGGTGATTGGGGTGTTGCTTTAATTTTTATTAACCAGCAGTCTTAGTCTATCAAAATAGATATTTTCATTTAGCAAACAGAACACAAAATGGGATGGTCACAAATAAAGAATGTTATGTGTAGTTTATTCAGTAAAATTCTAATTGTTGTGAATTAAATTGAAAAGGCAAAATTAAGGCTAAAATTTCAAAGCTGCGACTACAGCTGATATGGAGAATTTGTCCATATCAGCTACTTATCAGATACTTTTTTTCATATCAGCCACAGTTCTGGGTTTTCGTTAACTCCAGTCCGAGTGCAGTGAATAAGCTCTTGCATTCTAGGGCTGTGATTATACAATGCTTTACTGTCAGACGTGTGTTGGATTTTTTTTTTTTTAGCAATAAAAGACAAATCTAATCAGAATTTTGCTCAATAATTTTTGTAAATGTCATTGCCTGCTTTCTGTATTCACTGTTGCTTGAATCAGACAACCACAATTTAAATGCTAATATAATAGTAAACAAAATATCTCTTTTGCATTCAGCCCAGACTTAGAGAAATAAAACGATCTTTTGTTCTTTTGATACGTGTGATGTAAGTTCGGTTATAGAAAACTGTTTGTTGCTTTCTGTATTACACATACAAATTGTTGAAATTTGAACTTACAGCCTTTCGCGAAACACATTGCCGTAGTGTCGCACCTACAAAAATTCATGTTTACGTCTGAGTAGAAATAACTTGAAAATCAAATAGTATTCATCTTCAATTGTACAGTGATTTCAAATTTAATAGGCCTTGGCAATAATAACAAAGAAAAACAGAGCTCTTGTAATTATTCTTAGTTTTCCCCATGTCTGGATTTGCCAATCGGCACCTGTCTACTAGGGAAGACATAACTACACAGCGGTACTGCTGCATCATTAACAGCAAATGTAATGATTTCACTTTAAAGAGAAAAGAATATCCCCTTGCTCTGTGTAACCCAAATTCCTAGCAAACTAATAGAATTACACTTTAATCTAACAATTTCTGTGAATACTTATATGTTGTTCACATGGTAAAAGTGTAAATGAGCATCGCACTTTGATCTACACCTTTATTAATTCATATTAAAAATGCAACAAAATAATAAAAGTAAAAAAAAAACCCATAAAACATTAAACACAATGTCTAGTCTGAATGTCCGTTTTGGAGCAAATTCCAAGGCTATGCACATTCTATAGTGGTGTCTGTTGAAATCAGGAAGAAATAGAGATCTGATGACACAAAACTCTGTAACGTAGTACAATGTGAGCAGGCTATTGCATTGCTACAGAGGGTTTTAGATAGAATGGGGATTGATCACTCAAACGAAATATGAAATTTAACGTAGAGAAATGCAAAGTTATGCACGTTAGGTTAAAAAATACACAGACAACTTGCATCCTAAAATGGTAGTGAATTAGGGATAACCTAACACACGAGAAGGTTTTTGGAATTTTATAGACAACAAACTAGGCAACAATGTGCACTGTTAATCAGCAGTGGCTAATGCTAGTTAAGTATTGTCATCTATAAAAAGTGGGATTAATTATCAGAATGGGAATATAATTTTGCCTCTTTATTAATCACTTATGAGACCGCATCTTTAATATGCTTTGCAATTTTGGGAATCTGTTCTAAAAAAGGATATTATGGCATTAGAAAAAGTGCAAAGACGGGCTACAAAATTTATAACAGGAATGGAACATTATAGCTACGAAGAAAGGTTAACAAATTTAAACCTCTTTAGTTTAAAAAAAACGGTGCCTCAGAGGTATATGATAGCATTATACAAATATATTTGGGACCAATACAAACCATTTTCTGTAAATCTATTCATAAACAGGACTATACATAGGACACAAGGTCACACATTTAAACTGGAAGAAAGGAGATTTAGTCTAAGTCAAAGGAAAGTTTTTATTTTTTTTACAGTAAACACAATAAGGATGTGGAATTCTCTGCCTTAATAAGTTTGTTGCAAAATTTGGATTGCTACACACTGTTTTCTTTTTTTGTCTGCTTTTGGATCAACAGTAAAAACAAGTGGGAGAAAGGCTGGACTTGATGGACACCTGACTCTTTTCAGCCTGTGTAACTATTCTTAACTCTCCCCATATACAGAAAAACACACACACATGGGGCTTAAGCTCTTCCTAGGAAGAAATATAAATACACATCATAGTTAAGTACTATTAATTTTTATATTGTGCCACAGCTGTAGATTACACTCAAGGGATTTCAATAATCAAATGCCTCCAAACGCAGTTTCTCAGTAAGTTTCAAGCACACCTCCCCCATTTGCGTTGTCCACAGCAATGCTCTAGGGACACTGGTGTAGGTTATAAAATAATGTATTCTAATAGTGTATATAAAAAAAGCAACATAAAGGCCCTACGCGTTTCATCCAGTTGCCTTGGACTTCCTCAGGGACCATTCACACTTAAAGCATATAAAAATATAATAGATACCACAAACAAATGCAGACACATTGGTATTTATTATATGTTTTAGATGTTTTATGAGACCATCTGATTGGCACAGTGTGGCATTTTGCCACCCATGAACAACAGCCTCCCAATTCATTCCTTTAGCATAGATTAATGATCTCAGCCCAGGAGTTGGGTCTGGCCTCAGAAAGAGCAGCGCAGCGTTGGATTAAAGTTAAGTAAAATACCTTTTAACACTAAACGGTGAGTAGGACACCTAGCGCTATAGTGTTCCTTTAACTTCATGGAGGTAATTATTATTTTTTTAATGTAATATGTAATATTTACTAATAACTTCTAAATGGAAGTTACATGTTGCGTACAATGGCTAAATTTCAAATATAAGCATATTTTTTTTTCATTCTACTTAGAATTGTCTCGTAGAACAATTCCTCAAAAGCCTTGCAGCTGAAAGACATTGATAAGAAAAAATCCTTAGTAATTATTCAAAGGTCGTCTTTGTGACTGAGGCATTATCAATGCCTTATCAATAAAGTGGGGTTTATTGCAGATACCTCTATCTGTTTTTCTTAAGGTGACATCACACATCAGGTGCCCAAACTATTTCTACACATGAATCAGAAAAGGTTGCACAGTGTGTGTAGATATATTAAGAAATTAAAAAAGTGGCTTGAAGCCCATCTTAAAAACTCATTGCAGTAGGAAAGATGAATAAGACATAAATCGGGATAGAGGTATTTATAGTGAATATGATTATAGCGGTGCTTGTCTGTATTGATTCTGAATGGTGTTATAATGTGATCTGGATTTCTAAGGAATGCCAGAGAAAGTGGCTTTATAAATAGTAGCATTTAGGAGAATTACGTTATCATCAGAAGTATTAATGTAGAAATGGAGGAAAAGGAGAGTGAAATGTAATACTATTGGAGGATTACGTGGCTCAGAAATGTTTTGGCACTAGAGGTGGAAAGTGATATTATCATAGTTAGGTCCAAGAGAGGTAGAACATGAAATATGAACCTGACTCAGACGTTTTAGGGCATAAAATATTTTTAGCATGATATTCTTGATCTGAGTAGATATTATACCACTCTTGTTCAGATCAGGCATCATTGGAGGCTAACTATCTCCCCATCTCACCTTTCTTGATGGCCACTCTGTACCTTCCTGAGCAGCTAGTATGCCCCATGTGTAGCCACCATTTTCCCTCCATCATCATTCATACCCACTTTCTCAGAACCCCTCTTGCTTCCTTTCTTTAACACTCACCATCCTGCCCCTCTCTTAACACCCCCATGGCCCCAACCTCAGCACCCACCATGCCTTCCCTCCCTCCACATCCACCATGCCTCTGCCGCTCCCAGTATCATTAGATTATTCCTTGGAGAGTGGATTTTCTTTGGCCTCATGCCAAAATATTTTTTTTAGGCAACTAGCAACACCCTTGGTAGCTAAAATTCAAACAATACAATATTTAGATCATCAGTACAATGAACAGGGTGCATATTATGCGATTTTGCTACCAAGTAAATACTTTGTAGGGCTCATATTCCCTTGTCTGATCAGCACACACTATGTTATTAATATGACTCTGTTTTTTCCCTGTAACAGTCCGTGAAATAATTTGCGAGTAGTACTGTTTAATGTACATAATAATAAAATCTCTCGGTAGCTGCTTAGCTTACTCTATTAAGGACTGACAGCAGTGATAGTACAACTCCCAGCGCTGTCTTGTTCAATGGCAATGATTCTATGCTGTGACATGCAGATATTAATGCCATCAATTATTTAAAATGTAGGAGAAGATTGTGTAACACTGCACGGTATTGCTGAGTTGTATGTAAGATGACACACAGGGGTTTATTCTTGAAACCATTAATAGCACTAAACTGAATTCCAACATTTAGGTCAAAATAGATCCTTTGGTTTTCAATTCATTAGAATTCTCTGTTTATGGAAAAAACTGCAACGTGATGTTTAGTGAATGTTTCACGACACAATGCGTGATTAGGAGAGTTTACAGACCTAAAGCATTTAAAGGAATACTCCAATCATTACTCAATCACCATGATCCTCTATGGGGAGCAATGGATTGGACCATGGCCAAGAGGTCATTCCTCCTCGATGACTTTGCAGGAGGTGGAACGAAAAGCAAGTAAGGAAAAAGGTAAGTACTGTAAATTCAATGCATCTCTATAAGGAGATGCTGATTGGTGCAGCACAATGTTTAACCGCGCATGCTCAATAGCCTCCCGTAGGAAATGATTGGATTGAGATTGTCAAATTTGATGATCTCAATCATGAAGGTGGAGCAAGGAATGGCCAGTCATGGCAAGACCAGCATGGCGTGAGAAAAGAGGTGAATAGAAACACCCTTTATTGCTTCATGCGATACTCTGTTTTCTTTTATATGTGTATTAAAGGAACACTAGAGCGTTAGAAATACAGACCTGTATTCATAACATTATGGTGCCTCTGTCCCCTTCTTGTGTGTTAAACAAATATTAACAAAATAAAGGTTTTACTTACCATTTTACAGAATCATGGCTCTCGCAATATTTTAGTTGAGGCATGATCTTCTTCAGCAATTGTCCAATCCTTTGCTTATCATTGAAGAGCATTGGGGCCTGATGCGAATGTACAGCGAGTGCCACATACACAATACATTGAGAAGCACTTGGTCAGAACAGAGAAAGTGCCCCCTAGTGGCTGTCTGGGAGACTGCCACTAGAGGTGTGTTTAACTCTGCAATTTAAACAGCGCTGTTTCTACAAAACTGTAATGTTCTATATTGCAGGGTTAAAATGACAGAACCACTGCACCCAGACCAATTCATTGAGATGAAATGGTCTGGGTGACTTTAGCGGTAAATTTGATTTAGCAATTGATATCAGATTTGGGTTGAGTCTATGCATAGCCAAGGCACACATTGCAAATAAGAAGGAGAAATTTAAATTTTTTTTTTTTAAATTCTGTATTTCATCATACTATGTTCAATGACTGAAAAGAGCTGAGCTAATAATAAGGATTGACAGGGATCCAAGATGGAGGCACTTTGTTTGAGGAGAAAAGTTAGGTGAATTAAGCAATAAGGATTTCTACATTTCATTTTATATTTAAGAACTCACAAACACATATTTATTAAACAGGTTCTGGAGATTCAATAAGAAGCTAAAAAGATAAAGTCTTGCAAGAAGTTTAACTCCCATTCGTTTCGGGTCACCTTGACCATTACTATGATGTCATGTAGCCAACTGCATGGCCAACATAAACGGGCCCTATAGTCACCATAACCATTTCATCTCATTGATATAGTTATAGAGCCTGGAGTTCCCTGGCAATGTGCCTCTAGTTAGTGTTAAACCATTTTCTACCAGTTTGCATTGAATGAGGGTGTGTGGTTTCCCATCGCACCACCATTACAGTAGGAGATAGCACACTTTCTTCTACTCATACCGATCCATACCTGCAATGGCACTATGAGAGGCTGAATGCTGTCAGCTGGCACTCTCCGCACCCGCCCAAACCGATCGGCACCATGCTGAAAAAAATGAGACAGTGCAAGACAGATCTAGGAGATCTTTTGATCTCCCTACCAGTTTGTGCAGCAGCCTGGCACTCAGATGCATTAGTGTGTACCTGGGCACAACCAACACATCCGATGAGCATGCCTATGGTTGTTGCAATGAGGGCTTTTTTAATTAAACAAAGTCCAAGCAAGGTTTCTAAGAGGAGCAGGAAAAAGCAATGTAAGATGGTGTAAGGTCAGGGCAGGATCAATGTAACCATGTCCAAGTAACCAGGAGATCCAATGATGTTGAGAAGAGGGTAGGACCAAGGAAGCAGGTCTCTTTGTCAGAAAAAGCACGAACATGCCAGGTAACTTTAGCCAAAGCTAACCAAGCTCTGGATTGAGCTTGCTCAGAGCTCTTATTCACAAGACTCTATAAATGATGTCGGGTGCAGCAGGTCGATTTAACTAATACTTGCAGCAGAGATTGATTTCAGAACTCCAACCCCAGAAGCATGGACAGCCACAGCGAGCTGGTGGTGGGGAGCAGGTAAGGGACTTTCCATAGGCCTTTGTGACAGAGTGAGAATGTAGCTGTTGGAAGGAGAGAGGTCTCTTACAGGAGGCACATTTCCCAGCGTTGTCAGTAGTCCACCAGGATAAGACAATCAAAGTCTAAGAGTCCCTGCACAGAACAAAGATCAGTATCTATGTGCAAATTCCACAGAGGACATGCCTAGTCCACCACAACTTGTAGGAGTGATGGTGGATAGTATGGAGTGTGGCTTTCTGAGGGGGGCATGGACGATCTATGAGAGTGATGACAAGCTTAGAGGAGTTGAAATCCACCCAACAACCCCTTCTTGCAAGAGTTGTCCAAAGGATGAGAGGGATATCTGTGGTGGCTTGTTTTTAATAAAAGTCCTGAGTTCACAAGTGCCTTAAAGCAGCCCTTTGAACAACACTTGGGATTTATTCATCCTGATATGATTATTTTATAACATGTGACCATAATAAAAGAGAAAAGATTAGTTATTTCAACACTCAGATTTACCTAGATTAGATAAAATGTAACCTTTAGTAGAAGTTATTAAAGCCGAACAGGTATTATGAATATATTCATGTACAGTAATTACTGATTAGAAATTGGAAAATAGAATTTAAGTAGATTAGTAGAGCATAGAGAAAGTGCCTATTCAAAGTACTTTAAAGATAATATATATGAAATATACTGGACTGTTCTGAAGGGCCTTCAATTCAGGTAAAATTCAATATATATACTAATAGATGAATTTAAAACAAACTAATGCAAATTATACCAAATATAGGGCTAGATTAGTTAGTTCAGAATTTTCAGTTAACTCAGTGGTATTTCAGTGGAATTCAGTATCACATAAAGAACTGTGTATTTTGTTGAGTTATCCCCCAACGTTATTGACTTATTGACTTATTTCCTTTTTTATTCTAGCAATTGAAAACCAGCACATTAAATCCCCGGAGATAACCAGATTCAGAATGGAGGAAGATATGGATAGTGAGTGGAAACGTAATCAGGAGAAAACTGTTCTGAGAATGAAACTGGAGGAGTACATTGGTAACAGTGATGTTGTCGTGTTCAGCAAGACAACATGTGGAAAGTGCACAAAAGTATGTTCAGAATGTTTGTCTCTTTGCTCACAGAATCAGTGATTGATTAACATTTTTGTATTAAAGTGACACTGTCACGCTGAACTTACCTTTCTCCTATTGTTTCCTCTTCTTTTCCTCTCTCAAAATCTGTTCTTCTTTTCCATTAAGCCCGTTGAACTAATAAAAAAAATAAAAATAATAATATCGCAAAAAAACAAAAACCCAGTTACACTGACCCCCCACAGAGTGAGGGGCGAGATGGAGGGAGTTAGGAAGTGTAATAAATTAAACAAATTAACAAAGACCATATTGGAATTCAGTCTTGGTTCGTTCTTTGTAATTTCTATTCATTCATGCTACTTTCTGGTGAGTGAATGAATAGTTGAAATTCCCATCCACATTTTCATCAATAGCGAATGCTAGTGTTCAGTTGGGGGAGGCGGGTTAAAAAAAAATGGATGCTGCCATAACAGTGCCACTTTAAAGAGTATTTATTTTTAAGGGACACTACATGCTTCCACATATTACCTGCAGTTTGTGTGAGGTAATGCAGCTCACCCTGTGCAAATGGCTTCATGGCTTCATTAATGTTTTTTGTGAAAAAAAATAACGTCAGTCTGCATAGCTTTCAATAGAAAATTGACAGGTAGCCTTGTAGTTCTTACTAAACCACTTTTGTGCCCTTAAATAAACCACTTTAAAAGCTTCAACTTGAAACAGCTCAGTTATACCATTTGCTGTTACATTAGGTGCCTCATTCATATGACAATAGTAGCATCATTAAACCAGCACAACCTTTCTACTGGTGTATGGAGGCCTTTTGTCCCATGCCCTACCCACTCCTTCTTACCCCTCTTCTTCTTTTCTAAACCAAGGGCAGATAATGTAATTTTCCATTTAAGTGTTCCATGTTCTGTTCGTACCCATTTTTTGTTATGTAAACTGATGTTCTTGCAATTTAATATGAGCAGCTCTGCCTGCTGAATTATTGCATTATTCTAAAACAAATTTGAATAACAAATGTTCAAACAGTGCCCCCCAAAAAGCCACCACTGAATAGAGACGCAAGCTACAGTAGTGTACCCCACTCTGTACATTTAATAGGATTTAGGTTTAAAGGGGCTGAGGGTTAGGATGTGTTTATGGTAAGAGAGTTTTAGGATTAAGGGTAATTTATTGGGATTAATTTAAATCCCCTAAATCTCGCTAATATTAATCCAGCCATAAACTGCTGCTTAACCCTAAGAGGCTACCTCAACCAAATATTACTGTCACCATACCTCTGTGGTGTCCTTTTCAAAGTTGCCCTTTTTTTGCAACAGATACAGCACAAAGTCACTCTATCCATTGAGGACATTTTAAGAGTGCCTATTTTATCAATGGTATTTTAAGTGTATACGTCCATAAACTGTGACTGTTAAAACGGAATGAACAGTATCTGTACAGTGTACTGTATCTTTTTAAAATTAATATTTTTTAAACTATTTTTTGGCATATTTTAAATCTATTAACTATATAATGCATTAAAAAATGGAAGCCTTTCTCTAATTTGAGGAGTGTGTCCATACCATTTGCAGATTCCATTTTCTGTCATTACTCCCTTAATTTGATTTAAACTTTATCAAACCTTTTGATGGCTTCCCCATGCTAACTAGACACCTTCAAATATTATATACTCTTTGGTGGTTCCATGATCAACATGTTGTCTCCTTGACCAAGTATTAAAGAATGATATGCTTTGTCTGATCTTGTGCTTAGTGAGTCCAGTACTTGACACCTTGGACTATCTGTGATAGTGTCAATACACTCTTACTCTGCATAAAGAATAACGCACATAATAGGTTCACAAATAGTATTGATGAAGACTCTATGAATGGATGGGTTGGGATAAAAATTAAGCTTTAACTTTTCATAGAAAAGCAGCCCAACTTCAAGATTCAAGAACGAGGCATAGGATATTATGGATAGCGATTTAATATAAGGGGAATTACAGTTATTGAGTTTAGAATTAGGAGGATTAGGGTTAGAGCTTCAGGTATATTCTTCGAATACTAACCCCAATTTTCCTGTTCTAAACACGTTTAGGTTTAGTAGCATTAAAAGATATGGTTAGAACAAAGTTTGTTTCAGGGTTAAGGGACTTGAGGAATATGCACCCAGACCACTTCAATGAGCTGAAGTGATCTGGGTGCCTATATTGTCCCTTTAAGTTTCGGGTAAGGTGAAATAGTTTTTAAGGTTTAGGAAAGTGGAGTTACAGTTAAAAATACGAGGTTTCAGGGTTCTGGATTAAGAGAATTTATTTCACGGATGTTTAGCCTAGGTCTGGCTCAGAACCATTCTCCCTTCATGGTTCTCCATGTTCTTTCTCCTAGGATGACCAGACAGCAATGTGATATAGATCTAGCAGGCCATGATCTCCTCTGTCAGGTCTCTTTCATTACTCTGTTTCAGTGTCTAGGTTCTATGCAATATTGGGGTATGACATAACTGTGCTATGCCACCTAGCCATGCTACACCAACAGCAACACCAAAATATATGTTGTCAGCTACGCGGGCACTACGAGAGATAGAAGTAAATGGCAATGTTGATCAGGAAGATACTTTCTCTCTCCAGTTGGCTGCTAGCTCATGATGACCATGGCACAATATGAAATTTGCTTGGTCTGCCCAGTCCAGTTCTGGCTCCCCAATATAGTCTACCCACCTGCCATATCACTTTGCCAGCATCGACACGTAGATAAGTCTCTACATGTCAATGAACAGTGAGGAGATGGTGAGATTAGTTTTTTAGATAGATAAACTCTACCCACCTGGCAATTCACAATTCTAGTACATTTCACCTGCATGTTATATCTTGTTTAAATGTCTAATTAAAATCAATAATGTCGTTCATATAAGTAGGAGTGCTCAGCTGTAATATTGAGCATTAAAGGACCACTCTAGGCACCCAGACCACTTCAGCTTAATGAAGTGGTCTGGGTGCCAGGTCCAGCTAGGGTTAACCCATTTTTTCATAAACATAGCAGTTTCAGAGAAACTGCTATGTTTGTGAATGGGTTAAGCCTTTCCCTATTTCCTCTAGTGGCTGTCTCATTGACAGCCACTAGAGGCGCTTGCGTGCTTCTCACTGTGATTTTCACAGTGAGAGCATGCCAGCGTCCATAGGAAAGCATTGTAAATGCTTTCCTATGAGACCGGCTGAATGCACGCGCAGCTCTTGCCGCGCGTGCGCATTCAGCCGGCGGGGCGTAAAGGAGGCGGAGAGGAGGCAGAGAGCTCTCCGCCCAGCGCTGGAAAAAGGTAAGTTTTTACCCCTTTCCCCCTTCCAGAGCCGGGTGGGAGGGGGTCCCTGAGGGTGGGGGCACCCTCAGGGCACTATAGAACCAGGAAAACCAGTATGTTTTCCTGGCACTATAGTGGTCCTTTAAGAATTATGAGCTTTGCAAATTCATCTTGACAATGATGATGACTGGATTATGATTGAGCAGTTGTTCATAAGATTAGCGGAAGACCCACAACTGTGTTAAAGAAAATGAAATGACAGCTGACTGAAGTAGAAAATTGAATTAAAGGGAACCTGTAGTATTGAAAATAACAATTAATTTATCCAAACTATAAGTTCCCTTCTACTCTTGTGACTTCTGCCCCTTTCGCTGGCAAACATTTTAGTTAACTAAAATATACTCACTTCAGTTTCAGCACTAAGATTCCTCCGCTACAGCTGCCCTCTCCTCCTTTGTCTTCGTCAGCATGCCTGTTTACTCTACCGCATTCTCGTGCAATCCAATGCTTCTCACAGAGAAGCACTGGGGATGAGATACTCATGCGTGGCAAAAGGCTTTGCTCTTCCAATCAAATGCTGCTATGAGGCGCATTTCATTGTAGAGCTGTGTCTGACTTGTTTCTGGAGGAGCGTTGTGGTCCTGATGTTTATGCGCGGTGAGTGTCACACATGCGCGTCCAAAGCTTCTCACAGGAAAGCACTGAGAAGCACGTAATCAGTGCAGAGAAGGCATCTCTTGTGGCTGTCAGGGAGACAGCCACTAGAGCTGCATTCAGCCCTTCAATGTAAACATTGCTGTTTCTACAAAATGACAATGTTTTACATTGAAGGGTAAAAATGACAGGACCACTGCACCCACACCCCATCATTCAGACAAAGTGGTCTGGGTGCGTTTAGTGGTCCTTTAGCCCCTTAAGGACCAAACTTCTGGAATAAAAGGGAATCATGACATGTTTAAGGGAGTGTTCAGGCTTCATGCATTTTGATAAGGCTGCTTACATAAAAACAATGTATGGAATGTACATTTGGGGAGAATAGGGTTTTTTTTTTTGCCATTTGTTAAAGGAACATTCCAAATACCCTAACCACTACAGCTTGCTGCAGTGGAATAGTGCCAGATGAGCCCTGGTGCAATTCTATTGTAAGTAGTCAAACAATTTTAGCATGGTTTGACTTCTTAGTTGGGGTGTGCCAGCTTCCTCTCCCTGCCTCCACTATAGCAGGAAGCTCTCTGTCTGAGTACCTTGCTTCGCCCACTGGCTGTCTGCTAAAACGGGTTGGCTGCTTACAATTAGGGAGTGCCTGGACACATTAATGGTACCACAGCCACTACAGGATACTGTAGTGGTTATGGTGTTTGGAGTGTTTCCTTGAAAACTACAAAAAAAACACTCACAATAACATAACAATAAAACATTTATCATGACCTTGTTTTAATGTAGATTAGCATTACAAATAATCAAAATCTTAAAAAAAATCTCTTCAAATAGGGAAAATACATTATTACATTTGTTGGGTCCTGTAGACGTCTCTGAGGTTCAGTCCTCCCCTGCAGAAACCAAATGTCTTTCAGGCAGTCACGTTGCGAAGATCCAGTGAAATCATGTTTTTATATATATGTTACAAGTTATTAAGTGTATAGACCGTTTCCTCCATAACCTATAACTATGTTTCAGGCAGACATTACATCTGTGAGGAAAGGTTCAGCTGTTTCCAATGTCTGCATATGAAAGGCTCGCTGGCGTTGTTTAGATAATAGAGGAGGGAGCTGATATACTGTGATACAAGGAAGATGATTCAGCACAATATCTCCAGGGTAAAAGGCAGAGATATGTTTCCCTTAGTGCTTAAATGGAATCATAAATCTTGGATCAGGATGAATTTTTCAGAATTTTCATCAAATGTGCAGAATAACACATTTTATACTGAAATAGCAAAGTGGAAAAATTCTCCACAATTCCTGATTTAGCAAATAACCCCAAGAATGAGAGCGACTGCCATGTGGGCACCTGCTAGCAGACATTACCACTATCAAGTATGCAAACCTTAGCAGACACGTATAATGCCTGCCACATATTACAGGGATAGTATACGCACATAGGCGTGCGCAGCCTATTGCATTAGGGTGTGCACCCTAAAGCACAAACACACGCCGCGCGTGTGTGTGTATATATATATATATACACATATATATATATATATATATATATATATACATATATACATATATACACACGTATATATATATTCACAGACACACACACTCACAGACACACACTCACACTCACAGAAACACACACACTCACAGACACACACACTCACTGACACACACATACTCACATACTCACATACTCACACACTCACACACTCACTGACACACACACTCACAGACACATACTCACACACTCACAGACACACACTGACACACACTCACAGACTCACACACACATACTCACACACTCACAGACACACACTGACACACACACTGACACATACTCACACACTCACTGACACACACACTCACACACACACTGACACACACACACACATACTCACACACTCACTGACACACACACTCACAGACACATACTCACACACTTACAGACACACACTGACACATACTCACACACTCACAGACACACACTCACACACACTGACACACACATACTCACACACTCTCAGACACATACTCACACACTCACAGACACATACTCACACACTCAGACACACACTGACACACACACACACTCACACACTGACACATACTCACACACTCACTGACACACACACTCACAGACACATACTCACACACTCACAGACACACACTGACACACACTCACAGACACACACTGACACACACTCACAGACACATACTCACACACTCACAGACACACACACTGACACATACTCACACACTCACTGACACACACACTCACAGACACATACTCACACACTTACAGACACACACTGACACACACTCACAGACACACACACTGACACACACACACACTCACTGACACACACACACACTGACACACACTGACACACACACACACTGACACATACTCACACACTCACAGACACACACAAATAATTATATTTTAATTTTTTTTTTTAAATGTCCACCCAGCCTCCTACCTGGAGTGCTGGTGGACTTGTCCCTGGGGTCCAGTGGGGGCGGGCGCCTCTCTGCAGCTCAGCGCGCGGCGAGGGAGCTCTCTGTTCTCTGCTTCCTCTCGCCGCGCGGGCTGTCTGCTCGAGCTGGGAGCCGGAATATGACGTCATATTCCGGCTCCCGGCATCAGCGCGCGGCGAGAGGAAGCAGAGAGCAGAGAGCAGAGAGCTCCCTCGCCGCGGCTGAGCTGCAGGGGGGGGGAATCATCACCTCTTGCCCTCCCATGACAGGGGCAAGAGGTGAAACAGGGGGCACTGAGTGCCTGCAGGAACAGCGTTCCTGCTCAAAAGAGTGCAGGAACGCTGTTCCTGCAGGACTCAAACCATAGGGGTGCGCACGGGGATTAGGGTGTGCCCAGGCACACCCGGCACACCCCGTGCGCACGCCTATGTATACGCACTAAAACAACTTTAGCTTAATGAATCAGTTTTGGTGTATAGATCACGTTCCTGCAGTTTCACTGCTCAATTCTCTGCCATTAAGGAGTTAAATCCCTTTATTTATACTGCCCTAGTCACATCGCCTGTATGTGACTTGCACAGCCTTCTCAACACTTCCTGTAAATAGAGTTCTAAAGTTTAACTTCCTTTATTGCACATTCTGTTTAATTTAGAATTTCTTGTCTCCTGCTGTTTTAAAAACCTGCTACAGCCTGCTGTAGCCAGAGGAGGTGTGGCTAGGACGGCATAAACAGAAACAAAAGTGATTTAACTCCTAAATAGCAGTGAATTTAGCAGTGAGACTGCAGGGACATGATCTGTACACCAAAACTGCTTCATTGAGCTAATGTTGTTTTGATGGCCACAGTGTCCTTCTAACCAACTGAGCATATGCAATACATTGGTTACACTGGCTGCACATGTATGTAATAGGGAAATCAGAAATGTTGCTGTTTCTGTTTAACTTCTTATTTTCCTATATTCTTCAGAAGGTGTGAGACAATGAAGGGCCAGGCCAGGGGATCGCAAACCTGGACTATTCCATAAATAAGTCAGAAACAGAGAAACATGCTTGCAGAGTCTCTGGGGGAGAGCGGGGAGATTTTCACACCACCCAACATTTCAAATGGACATAGAGGGATACTTTAGTTTTAGGGGTAAGGGGGGGACATTACTAGGAGGGTTATTTATGTGAAGCTCTGAGACACACCAATAGTATGGAGCTACTAGAAAAGAGGGACTGAGAGATTTGTGGCAAAAATAGGGACTGTCTCTCCTAAATAGGGACACTTGGGAGTTATGGGATTTTTTCTATTTAACTTTCAATTCACTAGTGAATAAGCCCTCCATGAAGCCTACATTTATCTGCACAAATGGCGTCCTGCCTGTAAAAATGATCATTTCTGCTTTTATCTGCTTTATTGCAGTAGTTTAATCTAGGTTATTAAGAATTTAATGAGGTAAAATGATTTTATACTTCATGCAAAGCTTTATACAGGAGACATGATTACCAGTAATCTCTTTAACCTTACTGACATAATTCTACTCTTAATATTACATTAGTTTTTGCCTAATCAGCTTGTGGCTAAGCTAATTAATTTTAATGAATTAATTAAAAATTGAATGGGAGATTTTGCTTGTAAATTATAGGTGTAAAAATTGAATTGAACTATATTACTTTATTTTGCAAGTTCATCATATACTTCATTTTTTTTTCTTTTTCTAGGTAGACATAGGAGTAAAGGATAAAATCACGTATGATATTCGTTGACATATTAAAGAGACACTATAGTCACCAGAACCACTGCAGCTTAATGTAGTGGTCCTCATGTGTACAGCCTGTCCCTGCAGGCTTTTCAATGTAAACGCTGCCTTTTCAGAAAAAAGGCAGCATTTATATTGCTGCCTAGTAACACCTCTAGTAGCAGTCACTCAGACAGCCACTGGAGGTGCTTCCTAGTTCAGTGCTGCATGGAAGCACTGAATGTTCCCCTTAGAGATGCATACATTCACTGCATCTCTGTGAGGAGATGCTGATTGGTGCACTGCTGCATTTTGCCATACATACACAATAGCCTCCCAATGATAGACCATGGGAAAACATTGGATTGGCTAAGATCATCGAGACTGATGATCTCAACCATGGAGGTGGGGCAAGTGGCGGCAAGGCCAGCACTGCAATAGAGAACAGGTAAGTTTAAATACCTTTTAACTCGATTCTGAGGGGGGTTTGTACATAAACATGTACTCCAGCACTTTTTAACCCCTTAAGGACCGAGGACGGTTCAGGACCGTCATCGGCATTTTTGCCTTGAGGACCGATGACGGTCCTGAACCGTCCTAACGGTCTGGGGGTACTTACCTGATCGCCGTCGTTCCCCCGGCGGCGATCAGCGTGCTCCGGTTGTGGGGAGACTGCCTGCAGCCCAGACAGTCTCCCCACACTGATTAGGACCCCTGTGGCCATGTGATCGCTTAACACAGCGATCACATGGTCACAATAGGTGTCCATGTGTCTGCCTGCAGGGGGACTGTCTGTGCTGACAGGCAGTCTCCCTGCTAGTGTAAAATCAAAAAAAAATTAAAGTTAGTGTTAATTAAAAAAAATAAAATAATTATATATGTGTATATATGATATATAGACATATATTATACCTATATAATATATGTCTATATATCATATATATATAATGTCATACTAAGTGTATTTTTATATTAATATGTACTTATATTAATATAAAATACACTTATAATTAAATTACACACGTATATATATAATATATATAATAACTATATATATTGTATATATATATTATTATAAAATATAAATAATAAGTAATTTAAATTAAATAAAAAAATTTTAAAATAATAATAAAAATTTAAAAAAAATTATATAGCTATATGAAATTTTATTCTAACTGTATTTTAAAATTAATATATATATATTTATATCAAAATACACTTAGAATGAATTTGTATATATATCTATGTATATAAAAATAAATAAAAATAATAAGAAATATACATACGTCCATATACAAAATTACATAAATAATTATATAAATATACACGTAGACTTCAAATATATAAATATGCATATATATTTAAATTCTACGTGCGTATTTATGTAATATTTTTACATAATTCAGTAATTTTATTGATTGCAATTTGAGGGACCTGCCTGCCAACCCAGGCCGAAATTCCAGAGAATTTAATTTGCTAGCACTGTATTTTACCCTGTAACGTTCTACGACACCCTAAAACCTGTACATGGGGGGTACTGTTTTACTCGGGAGACTTCGCTGAACACAAATATTAGTGATTCAAAACAGTAAAACATATCACAGCGATGATATTGTCAGTGAAAGTTACTTTTTTGCATTTTTCACACACAAACAGCACTTTTACTGATGATATAATTGTTGTGATACGTTTTCCAGTTTTTAAACACTAATATTTGTGTTCAGCGATGTCTCCCGAGTAAAACAGTACCCCCCATGTACAGGTTTTATAGCATTTTTGAAAGTTACAAGGTCAAATATATGGGTCAAATATTTTTACATTGAAAATGGCAGGTTGGTTCACGTTGCCTTTGAGAGCGTATGGTAGCCCAGGGCGAGAATTACCCCCATGATGGCATACCATTTGCAAAAGAAGACAACCCAAGGTATTGCAAATGGGGTATGTCCAGTCTTTTTTAGTAACCACTTGGTCACAAACACTGGCCAAAATTAGCGTTCAATTTAGTTTTTTACTTTTTTCACACACAAACAAATATGAATGCTTACTTTGGCCAGTGTTTTCGACTAAGTGGCTTACTAAAAAAGACTGAACATACCCCATATTGAATACCCTGGGTTGTCTACTTTAAAAAATATGTACATGTGGGGTGTTATTCAGAGATTTATGACAGATAATAGTGTTACAATGTCACTATTGATAAATTTTAAAAATGTATATTTTGAAACCGCAATATCCTACTTGTACCTATAGCCCTATAACATGCAAAAAAAAGCAAAAAAGCACGTAAACACTGTGTATTTTTAAACTCAGGACAAAATTTTGAATCTATTTAGCAGTTTTTTTCATTCGCTTTTGTAGATGAGTAAAAGATTTTTCAAGTAAAAGTCCAAAAACATGTATTTTTTTCAATTTTTCATCATATTTTTTTATTTTTTTTAAATTAAAATACATGAGATTATATAAATAATGGTATGTAAAGAAAGCCCCTTTTGCCCTGAAAAAAACAATATATAATTTGTATGGGAACAGTAAATGAGAAAGCGGAAAATTACAGCCAAACACAAACACCACAAAAGTGTAAAAATATTCCTGGTCGCAAATGTACAACATCGCAAAAACAGTCCAGTCCTTAAGGGGTTAAAGCCCCCTTATAAAAACACATATGGGTTTACAACTGAATCCTAAAAAGAGAGTGTCAGTTATGATACAGGCCATATTTTAATATTTTTGATATTACAAATTATTCATTATTATCTGTTGGGAAAAAAAAGTATTTAATGGAGACTTCTATAGGTAAATAATTTTGAAAGTTTTTCTAACAGAAACTGAATCATTTGAAAAGCTTATCCAAAAATATTAAATCAAGGCCATTTTTGTTAAAAAGCAAAATCGAGCTTAACTCTTACATTATCTACTAAAGTGTGATCTGCGCGCAATTCCAAATGTATTCAAAATTAATTTAAAATTTTATGCCTCAGTAGCCAAACTTGAAAAACTGTCCAATTCACTTGTGTTTTCAGTTCAAATGTTGTAGCATACAATTGTTAATTAATTTTGAAATCACAGCTATATACACATCAGTAAAGTTGTTAGACTAACAAGGTGAGCCACTAAAGTGAGAATTGTTGAGAATTTAAAGTAAATTTAAAGCCAGAGTAGGTTAACTAGAAGCATAGCTGACTTTGACAAATGTTTCCAAGACAGTTTTTGGCCTTTACTGGCCATAAGAACTTAAAGAGATGCTGTAGTCACATGAACCACTGCAGTTTAATGTATGTGAGTGAAAAGCAGACTTAAAGGACCACTATAGTGCCAGGAAAACAAACTCGTTTTCCTGGCTCTATAGGGTCTTTGGGCTCCCCTCCACCCTCTGGGTCCCCCTCCCGCCCGGCTGAAATGGGAGGAAGGGGTTAAATTCTTACCTCCATCTTCCGACGTCATCCGCTGAATGCGCATGCACGGCAAGAGCTGCACGCGCATTCAGTCAGTCCATAGAAAAGAATTTCTCAATGCTTTCCTATGGACGCTGGCGTCTTCTCACTGTGAAAATCACAGTGAGAAGCGCGGAAGCGCCTCTAGTGGCTGTCAATGAGACTGCCACTAGAGGCTGGATTAAACCTAATGTAAACATAGCAGTTTCTCTGAAACTGTTATTTACAGCTGCAGGGTTAACCCTAGATGGATCTGGCACCCAGACCACTTCATTGAGCTGAAGTGGTATGGGTGCCTATAGTGGTCCTTTTAATTCAAATAGAAACTTATGGTGGTATTTATAACCTAAAAATATTTGTTTTATAATAGATAATTCATACATATTTAGAAACATAGAATGTGATGGCAGATTAGAACCATTCAGCCCATCTAGTCTGCCCAATTTTCTAAATGCTTTCATTAGTCCCTGGCCTTGTCTTATAGCTAGGATTAGTGATGTCCCGAACGGTTCGCTGGCGAATAGTTCCTGGCGAACATAGTGTGTTCGCGTTCGCCACGGACGGCGAACATATGCGATGTTCGGTCCGCCCCCTATTAATTTACTAATACTAAGTAAAAATTACTTAGTATTAGTAAATTGTGCCCCTACTCGCAGCCCTAAATACTAATAGGGGGGGACCTATTGTCCTCCCCCCGGGTGGGGGCCCTAAAATTAACAATAAGGGGGGGACCTATTGTCCCTCCCCCCCGGCCCCCACCCCTAAACGGTGAGTGGGGGCCCTAAAATTAACAATAAGGGGGGGACCTATTGTCCCCCCCCGGCCCCCACCCCTGAGCGGTGGGTGGGGGCCCTAAATACAAAGGGGGGGGACCCTAGTCACCCCTCCCCCCCAAAAAAAAGAGCTCCCTACCTACCCCCCTCACCCTAAAAATAATGAGGGGGGGACCTTTAACTAAAAACCTGTAAAAAAAAAATTTAGATAAAAATACCTTACCATTTGATGTTTTCTTTCTTCTACAATCTTCTTTTTTCAGCCCCAAAAAAGGCCAAATAAAAGCCATAAGAACCGACGCAATTAAAAAAAAACAACAAAAAAAAAAACGAGCGCACAAAAAAATAATCCATCTTCACCCATGGAGGGCACCGCGCAGACTGAGCTCTGCAGGGCGGGGGAAGGCTTATAAAGCCTTGCCACGCCCTGCAATTAGGCTAAGAACACTCTGATTGGCTGGTTTAAGCCAATCAGAGTGCTCTTTGTCATTTTACACAGCGTGGGAAAATTCAAAAGAGCTTGAAATCCATCCAATCACAGTGCTCTGTGTCATTTTACACAGCGTGGGAAAATTTAACTTTCCCACGCAGAGCACTGTAATTTGATGGCTTGAAATCCATCCAATCACAGTGCTCTGTGTCATTTTACACAGTGTGGGAAAATTGAACTTTCCCACGCTGTGTAAAATGACACAGAGCACTGTGATTGGATGGATTTCAAGCCATCCAATCACATTGCTCTGTGTCATTTTACACAGCGTGGGAAAGTTCAAGGTCCCCCCCTTATTGTTAAATTTAGGGCCCCCACCCACCGCTCAGGGGTGGTGGCCGGGGGGGGCACAATAGGTCCCCCCCTTATTGTTAATTTTAGGGCCCCCACCCACCGCTCAGGGGTGAAGGCCGGCGGGGACTATAGGTCCCCCCCTTATTGTTATTAGGGCCCCCACCCACCGCTCAGGGGTGGGGGCCGGGAGGGGACAATAGGTCCCCCCTTATTGTTAATTTTAGGGCCCCCACCCACCGCTCAGGGGTGGGGGCCGGGGGCGGGACAGTAGGTCCCCCCCTTATTGTTAATTTTAGGGCCCCCAACCACCGCTCAGGGGTGGGGGCCGGGGGGGGACAGTAGGTCCCCCCCTTATTGTTAATTTTAGGGCCCCCACGCACCGCTCAGGGGTGGGGGCCGGGGGGGACAATAGGTCGCCCCCTTATTGTTATTAGGGCCCCCACCCACCGCTCAGGGGTGGAGGCCGGGGGGGACAGTAGGTCCCCCCCTTATTGTTATTTTTAGGGCCCCCACCCACCGCACAGGGGTGGGGGCCGGAGAGGGGGAGGACTGTAGGTCCCCTCCTCATTATCTTTATAGCCCCCACCCGACGCCCAGGGGTGGGTGCCGGTGGGGGGGAGGAAAGTAGGTCCCCCACCTCATTATCATTATGGTCCCCACCCGCCGCCCAGGGGTGGGGGCCGGAGAGGGGGAGGACAGTAGGTCCCCCCCTCATTATCTTTATGGCCCCCACCCGCCGCCCAGGGGTGGGGGCCGGGGGTGGGAGGAGAGTGGGTCTCTCCCCCCCAGAAAGCGTCCCTGTGGGTTTTAAAATTCGCCTGCCTATTGAAGTCTATGGCGGTTCGCCGGGTTCGCGAACATTTGCGGAAGTTTGCGGTTCGTGGTTCGCGAACCGAAAATTTTATGTTCGCGACATCACTAGCTAGGATAGACTTATGCCTATCCCACACATGCTTAATCTACCACTTCATCTGGAAGGCTAGTCCATGCATCCACTACCCTCTCTGTAAAATAATACTTCCTGAAATTATTTTTAAACCTTTGCCCTTCTAATTTGAGACTATGTCCTTTTATTCTGGTAGTTTTTCTTCTTTTAAATATAGTTTCCTCCTTTACTGTGTTGATTCCCTTTATGTATTGAAATGTTTCTATCATATTCCCCTGTCTCGTCTTTCCTCCAAGCTATACATGTTAAGTTCCTTTAATCTTTCCTTGGAACAACAAACCAATAGTCTTGTGCATAAGAGCATTTCTGGGAAGCTCCCACTCTACCTGAGTATGCTCTCCCTGGCTTTTCTCACCTCCTATAACCTCCGATCCAGTACTAGCACGATATTTAGCATACCGCAATACAAAAATAAAGTGGCTCTATCCTCCTTTTCCTACAGAGCATTGCAATTATGGAATAACCTCAGGGCCACAGTCAGATCTTCATTCAATCTAAAAACTTTCAAGAGATCTATGGCAATATACCTTAGCACAGAATGCACCTGTCATGGTTGAATATATTTATTACCTGTTATGTGTTAAATTTGTATAAGTGTGTATGTATATATGTTTGTATATTGTATTTTAATTTTTTTTTTTTTTTTTATATTGTATCCTATTGTAACAATGTAATGTTTTGTGGACCCAGGACATACTTAAAACAGAGAAATCTCAATGTATCCTCCCTGGTAAAATGTTTTATAAATAAATAAATAATAGCTTGTCTCTTATATACATAGGTCAAAAGCCTACTTGATGGCATGAACATCTCATATCAGGCTGTGGAAATCGATCAGATGGGTAAGATACATCTTCTACATCACTTGCAGAATTACTAAAAATACAAATAGCTGAAGGTCGATGCCCAGGTTTGGTAGCAGTCCATAGAATATGGTTACATAGGTCAAGTGCTGCTGCTACTTAGCTTAAAATAAAATGAAAATATTTACCCAGAAAATGTGCGTTTACCTTTTTCTAATTTACAAGTACATCTAGATATTATTATTTCCCAATAGCTTTCATATTTCCCAGTACTCATTCTATTGACCTTGGAAATATGAAAGTTTGAGTTTTCCTGGACAGGAACAAAACCAGGGACTCTGAGATACTGTTGCCAGAGTCCCATTTTTTTCAGGTTTAATGAAAGGCATTTTCAGAATTTAATCTAGAATGTGGGGGTAATGACTCGCCTGAACAAGGATGTTTTAATTGGGCGTTGCTAAGATATCTCAATATTATATACAATGCACTGAGGATTGGCAAACTGTATAGCAAGCATGTTTATTTGGCCCGTGAGTTTGAGATGCTTGCTGTATAGATTCATGCTATGTATCTGAAAGCTCCATATTAGCACTTGTTTGCGATAATAGTATTGTGTGGGGATTTTCTCTTTTATGGTCGTGTCATGTCTAGATTGCTTTTGCATCCAAGAGCACCAAGTTTAACTAGTGAAATTGAGACTGTTTTGCAGTTAAGATTATTCTATATTATCATATTCTCCTGTAATATTTTTTTTTTTGGGAGGCGGCAGGGGTTGTCCTATTATTGAGGTGCTTGTAACAGGGGTCTTATAGTGATATAAATTTCCAACCACCTTTCCTTTAAGACTATAATAACATTTATTGAAGATTTGGGAATAGTTTGGAGTTTATATATTTTCTGCGGAAAAGTATTATAGATAAGGGGATGTTTCATTATACAATTCGTATAGTATAAGGACCCAGGCCTGAGTAAGGTGTTGTAGTGTCTAAGTGGGGAATACCTCAGGTTGCGATATGTTTTAAGCCCAGTGTTTGAGTGCACTGTAGTTATTATGGTGCTAGGAGTACCCTGAAATCTCCCCAGTGGGAGAGCTAATGAAAACCCATGTTTAGAAGTTTCCAACCCTCCAGAGTAGTGATGTCCCGAACGGTTCGCCGAACGGTTCGCTGCAGACTCATCATTGAGTAAACTTTGACCCTGTACCTCACAGTCAGCAGACACATTCCAGCCAATCAGCAACAGACCCTCCCTCCCAGACCCTCCCACCTCCTGGACAGCATCCATTGAAGCTGCATTCTTAGTGAGCTGTCCAGGAGGTGGGAGGGTCTGGGAGGGAGGGTCTGCTGCTGATTGGCTGGAATGTGTCTGCTGACTGTGAGGTACAGGGTCAAAGTTTACTCAATGATGAGTCCGTGGCGAACCGTTCGCGAACCGTTCGGCGAACCGTTCGGGACATCACTACTCCACAGTTAATATTTAGAGGTGGGTATCGACTCTGGCTGACCCTAGTTAATAAGATAGAATATAAGAATTCTGTATTATTTCCCAAAACAGTTAGCAATTACCAATTGTGATGGGTATGCATTTTTAGTTTTCTTTATTTAGCAATTACGTAGACCAGTAGGGTTATCCCCTTGACTGTGGATAATGTTTAGGTGTTGGGCAGGATCAATCTTTCACTTACTTTCATTGTAATCCACCCAAGACAAGGCTATGTTAATAAAAAAGCATTATAGTATCAGTTTAATAGTTTGTTTTATACTGATTGCATATACCCCCTTGTGTCTTGTGTGTAATGTTTCATTATTTTTCTGCATTCTAGTCGGCCCATTGTAGTAATTTTGATTGATAAAGTGGTTAGAATGCTACACAATTGTAAATAAAACACCATTTCTCCCATCCATCTCCCCTATAGTTATTGAGTTTGGAGAGGGGTTTGTATAATCATTATCAGAATATAGAATGCGATCCCTTGATAGCAGCAGTGGGTGATTTGAGTTGGCTGTTGCAGTGTTAGAATGTACCATTGTAATCAGAGAGTTTGTAGTTGCAGTGCTCAGATCCTGGTAGAACTCTTGATCGTTTCTGGGGTCTGTTTGCAGTGATGGAGGTGACAAGGTTATTTCTAACTGGCTCATGGTGGTAGCGTATTTGTTGCTATGAAGCCTAGAGATACAATGGGTTTCAGGAGATGAGATTATGAGTCTCCACATCTCTTGCCTCTCGAGTGAGTGTGAAGTGATGAATCTGTCAAAATTACCTGGTTTATGGCATTTGTAGTGCCTTGAAGTGACATAGATTGAAATAATATATACACATTTGGGTTTTGACGTTCATTTGAGCGTATAGGACTGGGAGATGTATACGTGATTGATTTTCGTGCTGTGATTGAGATAACGGATCTGGGGAAATTTATAACTCTAGACTGTACTTTGTTGGCCATTTGAGGTAGTCAGGCTGGAGTAAATATATGACTCTAGTGTTTTCAGTATGTTTGAGTGGATTGACCTTGGAAGGTAATTTGTGATGATGATACGCCGTGGGAATACAGTAGTCTTCATAGTATCTTCAAGATGATCCTGGTAATAGTCTCTAATTAGCCCTTTGAAGCAAGGTTTTTCTTGCTGGTTGGAAAACCCCACTGGTCATGTGAATGACTGAAACAGAAATAATCGCTACACGTATTTTATCATAAAACATATAAAGGTACCTGAAGATGGTTTGATTTAAAACATATGACTCCGAAAAATTCTCTTTGACTGAGTTGTCTCATTGTCATAAATAATGCTTCCGTATTTCACAAGGAAATTAATATAAAGAATTAAGGTCAACGTTTACATTGTACGCTAAGTAAACAAGGAAGCAGCTATAAGATTAAATCAAAGGGATTATCACATTTACATAAAATGTTCTGTTTTGCTTTGTCATTCTGTGCATCCCAATGCGAGCTGATGTCACTAATTATAAAAACTCCACATGTATAATTAGACGGCACCAGTGTTTAATATTTATCAGGTTAAACTGGTACGTAATGACATATTGGGTGATATTGTAGCTTGATTACAGTCTCTGTTGCCAAAAGTTAAACAAGTTCTTTAAATGAATAAATGTTACCCAGTATCGCTTTTTCCACAACGTTTTATCTCCTCATTACTCTAGACATTATTTTAATATTATAATTTCATTTTTTTGTAATTCTTTATTTTCATATTGTAAGCATACATGTAAGTACAGCATCATGGTATATAAGAGTGTTGCACTTTTTTAAAAATATTTTAATTATTAATTATAGGGGCTACAGGGGAAACGCTAGCTGGGTGCCCATTGGTTGGGACAGTTGTGTTGCCGCTCTTTGTATAGGTATGACTGCGTCTGGGACTCTATGGGATTGTCAATTGGGACAGTGTCTATTCGGCAATTGGCGGGGCGCCGGTTAATTGTCGTGTTAACTTGTTCTTCTCAGTGGTATCTTTTAGGGTCAGTGGCCGACCTTTGGTGGGTCAATAAGTTAGGCTTGTTCACCAGAGGGAGTCCTTGTTAGCAACAGTTCTCGTCCGGTCCTTCTTCTCTGAGGATGGTCACGGCTCTGTGGCCCTGGGTGCTGGAGTTAGTCTCTTCACTTTGAAATTGGACAGCTTGCTCTGTGTGTGGTCGTATTCACTGGGGCCCTCTGTTGTCTCGGGTCTCTTGGACTCCCTGTGGTGACCGGGCTGGCAGACCCACCTTTTGCAGGAAGAGCTCTGGATCGTCTTCTGAGGTGAGGGTCATACTCTTTCCTTCTATTTCCGTTAGGAGGAAACCCTCCACTCCCCAGCGGTAACTTATTCCTGAGTCTCGCATTTTCCTGGCTACAGGTGCCAGTTTTCTTTTCATACAGTGAATGGTATGTCGGGGAAAATTGCCACCTTGTGACCTTCATTAGTGATTGCCCCCATTTCTCTGGAATGTGACATGATAATTGACCTTGTAGATATATCTTGGGTCATCATGATAACATCCCTGGGTGCTTCACTTGGGGCTGTCACCGATTTCCGCACCCGGAATGCAGAGGAGAACCACTGCCTGTCTTCTCTGCCCCCCACTCCCATGTTTGCTATCAGCTTGTGGGCATATGGCAGGAGCTGCTCTTCGGTCACCGATTCAGGGACCCACCTGAGACGGAGTTTTTTTCCCCCACTTCTGCCAGGACTTTCTTGAGGTTGGCTCCCCAGATTTTCATCATTTCTGTTAGGAGTCTTTTAATGTCCCCCTTTGTGGAGGGTGTCTCGTCCTCCTCTGACTCAGATAGCCAGGATGGTGTCTCTGATTGGGAGGAGGGTATGGATTCCTCTTTGTCCTGTGAGGCCTACAGCATGTGTAGTCTGGAGAGCACTTAACTAGCTAGTCTTAGATGGACGTTAATATGACATGCTCTGTTAAAAAAATATTAATAAAAATAAAATAAGAGATTTTGCACAACTAGTAAACTCAATCAATATGAAATAAAGAGTATGCCCGGAATGTCAGACTTTATTTTTTCTTTACCATTACCTCGATGACATTGGCACAGAACATTTATATATATTGAAAAAGTTATATAATATTTGCTGTTGCTTTCCAAATTTTCTCCCAATTTATATAATCAAACTCATTTTTTTATTTTATTATTATTATACAATTGAGATTGTTTTCTTATTTTGGTGCTATGATCTTTTAGCTATGATTCATCTCCTAGGAGTCATGTGCTCTAGGTGTGAATGTGTCTATTGTACATGTCTGATCATGGCAAAGCTCGATAGTTGTAGAAAGTCCCTAGTTCTTGCGTTTCATCCAATTATGAAATGTTAAACTTCCGTTTTACCTTAATAGAACTTTACATAAAATAGAAAAGTCATCAAAACACCAACAAGCCTAATATTACATCCCACGCAAATCAGTAGACCTGTATCAGTCTAAGAAAGGACATTTTAAAAAAAAGTTAAAACACTAATGACACCCACTCATCATGGTTTGTTATTTTAATTAATTATTAAAAGGGAAATGTATCAAAGTTTCCCAATGTGCTTGCGGAAGTGTGACTGTTTAAATGAAGAACAGCCTTTTCAATAAATCAACATTTTTACATTTTCTTTATAATAAATATGAAACAAATATTAACAAAAACACCTGTAAATGAAGGGTGGGTGAGCGCTCTCAAACTGTCAGGCGCTATTAAATACATTTTAACGAGCACTGAGATATAAGTATATACTTTTATTTATGTTCTCCATACATGCTGTTTATACTTTATTACAAACACTCTTCTGAGACGTATTTACAAACACTCTCTTATTCAGACACACCTACCGATACATTCAAACACTCTGTAACAGGCAATCACATGCACATGTCATTCACAAACTCACACAGGCACACACAGGTACACACGCACACAGGCTACATGAATGGCTTACAAACAACTAGTGTCAAGATCAGCATTGGGGTTAAATATTCCTTTGAAGAAGGGGTGTCCAAAAGGTAGGTCTCCAGATGTTTTAAAACTACAGCTTCCATGATGCTTGGTCATTCTAAAGGCTTGCAAATGCATGCAAAGGATTATGGGAGTTGTAGTTCTACAACACCTGGGGATCTACCTCTTGGACACCCCTGCTTTAAAGGAACACTCCATAATCACAACCACTACAGCTCACTCTAGTAGTTATGGAGCCAGGAGTGCTCAGAAACCCTCCATTGGTTTGACTTCTCACCTGGGATCTTCTGGGCAGGTCAACCCACCTCTACTACCAATGCTGGAGAGCTGCAAGTCTCATTCCAAAGTGGTTTGACTCCTTACAATAGTGGGGTGGGGAGGGGGCACAAAGGCACTCCTAGTACTATAACCACTACAGTGAGCCGCAGTGGATTTTGTACTTGGAATTTTTCTTTACTGGTACGTTGTTATACTACAGATTTTTTAATTAATCAAAAATGTATTCATGTGTTTTATACATGTTCTCATCTGTATTCCCCTATCCTGGCAGGAAAGTGCAGACAGGTATTGTGTAAAGCTTATTTTTGGTTTATTATTTTCATGGAAGTGAGAAGACAAAATGTATGTGTTTTATTCCCATAATACTCAATACAGTAACACAGCAACACAAATCATCAGTTCTATCACCAAATATAACAAGCCATGAGACCATTAGCGTTGGACTGTGTCTGCTCAGAGCACAGAGTAATAGCATTCACAGAAATCAATAGAACTAGTTTAAGACCCAGTAGTCTGTTCACCTCAGGTAGTAAGCTATATTAATCAAGCTACACATAGACTCACTCATTGTTACTCATATCGTTCCTTACTTTCTATTAGTTATCATTTTCTTATATTGATTTGCCATTGTGTATCTATTCTTCCCTTTGTCGCTCAGAGGTGTTTTTACATTGCATAGCTCCGTCTATTGTCTAATCAATTTCAGGCTAAAATAACATAAATTAAAAATAGCTTAGAATAAGCCATTTTTTTAGTTTGAGTATTTTTACCTAAAATTTGAAATCCACTTTGAATTTCCAACAATTCCCCCTTCAATGAATAACTCAGTCAATGAAAAGCACAAATTGTTTGACACAATCAAGTTCTACCTATTTATTGAATTAATTTAAATTCTTCCTTGTGATCTCTTTCGTTCTTGCTGTTTATTGTAAAGCCCTTGGTAAAGTCTGGTACCTGGCAAAAAGTGTTTAGTCATTGTTACTCACAGATTTCGGAAGTGGTTGATGTTCCGCTGGACTCAATACGTAGTCAGAGATGCTGGGAAACGAGAGGCGCTGGGATTGTGAAACTTGTCCCACCTCTTTTGGCATTTCCTGGGAGCAGAACTTCTTAAATGGAGAGATCACTTCTGATTGTCTTCCACAGAGAACGGACAGATGTTTGAAGAGGTTCTCTGTGAACACGTCATGGAGACGGCTTTACCCAGTGTTTTCGTAAAAGAGAAGTTTATAGGAGAATATGATGGAATCATAAAGGTAAAAAAACATTAATTATTTATGTTAAAAAATGCTGAAGTAGACACTTTTGTTAATGAAATTTGTTATATTGTTATTTTGTAATATAAACCTCGGAGAGCCCAGCTACTGTTCAACTACAGTTCCCATGGGTCTCAGCCAATATGCTTCCAGGCGTTTGTAAGCTGAGGATTAAAGGGAGATGTAGTTCAATAACACCTAGAACGGTGGTCTACTTTTGTAAACAGTTGTCTTTATAATGTATTCATAGGTATTGGTACAAATTACAATCTCTAACTGTAATGTATATAAAGTAGATCTATTTATCTATTGATCGGTCTGTCTGTCTATCTGTCTTTCTATAATACAAAATATTTATATATAACATATATATATATATATATATATATATATATATAGAGAGAGAGAGAGAGAGAGATTTTTTTTAATGTTCAGATGTTTTAGAATTCCATACTGCAACACCCACTACTCTGTGTAAAGTAAAGTCTTGTCCTTAAACTAACACTATCCTTACTCATTATATCACAAATTAACCACTACATTATTGTAAAATACTACACTAAACATTAACTTCTCCAGTACTGTAACACACTACACTAAACATGAACCCCTACATTACTGTAACACACTACACTAAACATTAACCCCTACATTACTGTAACACACTCCACTAAACATTAACCCTTACATTACTGTAGCACAATACACTAAACATTAACCCCTACATTACTGTAACACACTACACTAAGCATTAATCCCTACATTACTGTAACACACTACACTAAGCATTAACCCTTACATTAATGTAGCACAATACACTGAAGCTAAACATGAACCCCTACACTACACATTTACCCTAACATTACACCGACACTAAACATTAAGCCCTGCGCCTGCAGTACCCTAATACTAATAACCATTAACTGCAACACTAACACTAACCTTAACCTACAAACATCATGGAATGTAAAACAGAGATAAGAGCAAAGTATTTATTAGGAGAAAATAATACTTGGAGAAAATATCTTGGGGTTTTGGATACATTTATAAACCACCAACTTCTGCCCCTTTGTTTATTATAATCTCCCCAGAATGATTTTATTGTATTATCTTCTTATAATACTTGGCTCACCATGTATCCTCTCTCTCTTACTCACTTTTACAACATGTAAAGATTTACAATACTTCACGTATCTCTCATTTTATGTATCTCTTTAATCTCATTTTAATTTCTGTGCTGAAAATATGTTTGTGGCCCATTCTGGCCTTAAGGCATTCCCGTAAGAAGACAGTGATTGTTCAACTGTCACTAGTTCGTTTCTTGTCATAATCTGGATATGCCAGAGCTTGTCCTAACTGAACCAAATTCCCATACCTTCTCAGTAAAATCAAGGTAATGAGCCACTATTTATTACTCCGAATTATCCAGAGACAAAGAAAGCATTGCTCATTGAAATATGTCTTCTGAGTAGATAGTGTACAGGGCGTTCACCCATTTTTTACAGATGGGAGCAAAGACTTGCAGGGTTATTTACAAAAGTAAGAACAGTCAACAATTCAAAGGGAATTTCAAATTTAAAGCCAAATTCGCAGAATTTTTCTAACTTGCCTATTGTGACATTAAATGTGAAATTAAAGGAACACTATAGTCCCATACGCTACAGTTGAACCTAGCCTGTGTGATTATGTTTAATTAATATAAAAAAAAAAAATGGCAGTCTTTCTTAGGAGTGTGTGCAAATTATGCTGATACTCTTTATTTTGTATTATCTTGCAACAACTCCTGTCTTTATTCTGTATCCCATGACTTAATTGCCATAATAAAAGGAAGATTGACAAAAAAAAAACAAAAAAAAAAGGAACACTATAGTGCCAGAAATACAAACATATATTCTTGACGTTATAGTGCTGACATGGCTGTTTAGCTGTCTGTGCAGTGCACTGGTGATTTTCCTAACTTTTTCCCCTCACTGTGTCTGTCTTGTTGTGGCTGGCCCCGGCTGGCCCCACCTGGCCCCACCTTGCTCCACTTCCATGGCTAAGATAATCAATTTATATATGTTGGTCTATTAATAGGATCGTAGGCAGAAATAAATACTGGGTTAGGCTTGGAGTCAGCCAGTGGCACATGACGGATCACGTCACAGGTTTCCATAATTGTAATGATTTCTTATAAAACACGGCAGGATATTGTAACACCCAAATATCTCCAGTGGTTTTCCAAAGTCAGGATGTTTCCCTTATATGTTAATTATATGCCTCCCACGTGCACTTAAAGGCGTGAGCTATATGGGATGATGAGTGAGTCAGACCATATCCGATCTACACCCATTACAATGATCTGTGTTTTCTCTCGTCTAGGAACATTACAATAAATTAACATAAAACATCTAACCTGCTCCATAATGCATTTGCTAGTTTTGAACACAGCTGTTTGAATTTTAAATATCGTTTGGTGTTGGGGAGAATATTATTTTATTATTGCAATGATACTATTGACCTAATTACTAATCTAATTAAGTGAAGAAACAGATACTTTGTTTAGATATATGTTCAGAGGAAAACACAAAATGGTTGTGGGAAGGCTAGAATATTACTAATATACACTAAAACACTAATCACACATAATTGAAACATACCCTCCATTTGCTGGGTAGAGATAGTATCCAGTATAGGACAAACTATACAATCTTCAGTACTTTAATAAGATTGAAAACAATATAAAAAGATTCATAGTATAGGACCTCACAAGACAGAAATGGGTTACAAATACATTGCACTTACAACATCAAAAGCCATGGAGACAGAAACAACTTTAACAAAGCTTCTGTTTAAAGGGACACTATAGTCACCAGAACAACTACAGCTTATTGCATTTGTTCTGGTGAGTAGAATCATTACCTTCATGCTTTTTGCAGTAAACACTGTCTTTTCAGAGAAAATGCAGTGTTTACATTACAGCCTAGTGATAACTTCACTGGCCACTCCTCCTTGGACAGTGGTGCAGAGTAAGCAGCACTGCAATTCAGTGTCTCCACCACCTGCATGCAGTCACTGAACTTTCCTCATATAGATGCAGTGATTCAATTCAGCTCCATGAGGAGATGCTAATTGGCCAGGGCTGTGTTTGACTTGTACTGGCTCTGCCCCTGATCTGTCTCCTTGACAGTCTCAGCCAATACTATGGAGAAACATTTTGATTGGCTCAGACCACCACTTCTGATGATGTCAGCAGACCGAGGCAGTTCAGGGGCAGAGGCAGCAGCTTAAGACTTGAATACAAGTAAGATTTTACTATATTTAGGGAGGCAAGAGGGTTACCAGGGGGGCTTGATGGTGGTTTTAACACTATAGAGTCAGGAATACATGTTTGTCTTCCTGACCCTATAGTGTTCCTTTAAAGCAGATTCCCTCCAGTAAATTGTGACAAAGTGCCCTTCGCCACTTGTGCCTGGAGAGGACTAATTGCCAGCCTCCTGCCCTGCGACCATGGCCCCTGGAAGATTTTGCCCTTTAAATACGTTATTTGGGCATAGTGGATTTTATTAGACTGGTTCTGGCCCTTTAAATGCTCTGACAAAGGATCTGCAGTTTTGCTATGCACTTCGGATGCAGAGTGTGAAGAAAACCCCTGTTTTATGGACTTAGTTAGACTGTTTTATTCCCCCCAACCCCCTCTTAGAACACCAGTTTTAACCCTTAATAACTGTCATATTCCCAAACTCTGTCTGACCCTTATAACTGTCAGTTTGTTTTCCTCTGAGGAGGAGTTGTTTTGCTGCATGAGTGCTGTTGCCTTTGTGTGCTCATTAAACAGACCTGCTTGACCCTTTCTTGAAGCCTTGGTTCATGCTTGGGGGATGGGATAAGTCTGCAGTGCTGATGGTGTCGGTTGGAGTGCTTGGAGACCTCGGCAAGCACTAGGAGCATCGATTGGCGGAGGTACTCGGTCGGAGTGCCAGGGGGTCCGTCACAGGTATCAATGGAGTAAAGGCTCCGTTATAAATCCATGATACCAGCTAATAGAAGGGAATATGCAAACCTAACTCCAACCGGTTTCGGTTGAAGTGACTTTATCAAGGGGAACTACATAATCCAGGTCCTCAATCCATTGATTCGGACACCTCTGTGGTCATATTGGGATCCGGACATGTATCCCATACGGAGTAACTTTACTGTACAATTTACAGGCGAGAGGAAGATGGTATTGTTTGCCCTATATTGGATACTGCCTCTGCTTTTATTAAACATTCTAGCCTTCCCACCCATTTTGTGTTTTCTCTGGTGTATACTTTTTGGGTTTTGGAGTTAGCCTGAGTTGTTGAGTGAAGACACTTTATGAAAGTTATCACATAGCCTGACCTTTGATTCTTTTTTCGATATATTTTGTTGGATTGTAAAGATACTACATGTGCATCTTCCTCTACTGAAACTGGTCTACCATATAGCAACATGTGTATTGTTCCCAAAATTAAAACTGTTCAATGTTCTGAAAGCACACTTACATTATTCATTTAAACTTTATTTTCAGTATATATATTGTGTATACTCACTGATGTTTTTGCCATTCTCTCCCCCCAATTTTCCAACAGTTATCAAAGGAAGGCTTGTTTCAAAAGCTTTTAGAAGGTAAAGAAGAGAAAACATCGGACAATGCTTATGACTATGACCTGATAGTGATTGGTGGTGGCTCAGGAGGTCTCGCAGCTTCTAAGGTAAAGACACTGGCTGGAGGTTGGCAATAAATTATTCGTGAGTGGTTAAACAATACATGTAACTCTGCCTTTTCGCAAATCAAAACGTGGAATGATTTTCACTCACTTGCTTGAGTTTCCTAACACGTTAACAATCTCCAAGAGTCTGACATTTGCTCTAAAACATATAGCAGTTTATTCACTAAACTGAAAAATTCAGAGAATTGCTAAAATTGCACATAGTAAGTCAATTTGTCATATGCCAACTGATCCAGGCTTTTAATGGTTCTCCCTTTCCATTTATAATGGCCCTAGCACAGTGGTTTTCTTTTGTGTGGGGGCATATAGTCATCTAGTGGGCACATGTCTGGAATATTTGTGCACCCTCTCCACTCTTACTGTCTTTACCAATCTCTTACCCCAAGAGTATATTTTTACCTCTCAAACACCTGCCTTTTATGCCCATGTGTGGGTTCCCATTGACGGTTGGCTCAGTGTCCACTGATTAAAGGTTTACTACAACCATTTACCAAACAAAGTTTTTTTGAATTCGAACTGCCCTGTTGGACACTATAACAATTGTCCACCTCCCCTTTTTTGTCATAAAAGAGGATTTTATTTACCTGGAATCCAGCATCGGGGGAACCTCCCGACACCATTTTCCACACCCCTTCATGACGTCAGGGCATCCGTGCAATGTCCAATCACAGGCTTATTCACATACAAAATATATATATATATATATATATATATATATATATACGTAAAATATGCACAGAATTGACATTAGGGCCTGGAACAGAGCTCTGGATGGATAAATCATGTATGCTGGGGGGTGTAACTAGTTATGGGAAGTATATTTCTTCTTTTTGAAGGGTGCATTACCTTAAACACTGACTGGCTGCCTTCTGCGCATGACAAAAAAATGAATGACAAACACCTACACCTGTCATCTTCTATTCACACAAAAGAAGCAGCCATTTTGGAATATTTCAATGTTTCTTCTTTCTGTTAACAGGAGGCCACACAATATGGCAAGAAAGTATTGGTACTAGACTACGTTACCCCATCTCCGCTAGGAACACAATGGGGTAAGAATTTGCTATACTCAGCAGAGCATGTTTTATAGTTTTTTTTAATTAACACTATGTTTTGTGCTATATGTACCATTTTACTTCTACATATTGTTGTAGCTGTTTAAATGGCTGTGCGTAGAGCTCTGTGTAGTACTGAACTTTGCAATGTGTTTACTTTCATTTACGTTACTATACAGAATGCAATGCTGTATTTCATCTAAATTCAGTATGCTAAAATACTTCTGTATATGTTGCTTCATACCAACGTATTGTTTTATTATATATATCATGCAAATGGGAATCTTTAGTTTTTGCCTTTTTGCCTAAAAGCTTATGGCAGTTATGTATAAAGTACAATTCTGGGATGAAGTTTTAACGCAGACGCTATCGATTGGAACATTCCACTGGTTTCCAAAATGATTGGCACAAAGTTTAAAAAGCACCACACTACATTTTGAATATTGGCACAAAGTTTGACTTTTACATAATCCTTATGTATTGAAATGTTCAAATACAGCTGAAAACAAGAAAAAATGTAGCTTTATAATAGCTTTCATTATTCCCCACATTATAGAAAATGTTATATCCAATCTTCAGTATTGGGCTACTGTAGCAAATGGGAACCCCCAGACACGCCACCTACTGGACATTTCAGCAAAGTTCCGTTTGTTACAGAAACAATAATAAATTGATGATATTACTCTTTATTTATCCCAGGCCTTGGAGGAACATGTGTAAACGTGGGCTGTATTCCCAAGAAGCTAATGCACCAGGCAGCCTTACTGAAGCAGGCATTGAAAGATTGTCAGAAGTTCGGCTGGCAGGTGGATAGTAATAGTAAGCCATTCTCAAACCATTTGTCTATAAACAGCTTAGCTCTGATGGGCCCCTTTCGCTGATAAAGAATGTGATCCATTACAAGTTCTAGATTGATGCAAGGATTTTTGAAAGCAGGTCCTACAATTTCCTTGATGCCACAGCTACATGTCTCTGTGTAAATCCTATAATGGATATAAAGAACGTACAATCATGATAAGTGGACAATACATGTTGGAGATGACATATTCGTTTTATAAAAACATATGCACCGACTAAGCCCAGATAGTGATTATACTCCCTTTAAACTTCTGCAATTTAAGCTATTATGTCAAACAGTTTACACATAACGGGGCAACACATTTTATACTGCAGACTGTACAACACATAAAGGATAAGTTAATAATATTTTTATTGATCAGCTGAAAAATAAATTTTGACCCCCACAAATGACGAATTTATAGCAAAGATGCACAGTTGAATAACATTTCTAACTTTGGATGTCTGCTGACAAAATCAAATGTGTGGTATGTTGAAAGTTAACTTGCAAAACGGACTAAAATAGTTAATACAAAAAAAATAATATGAAAGTCACCAAAACTTGCTTATATTGATATGCTCTGTTATATTTATATATATGTTCATTTATTCATCACTGTCAGCGGAGGGCTGGAATGGGGAAAAGGGTGTGCAATTGTCAACATAAGCCCTCCCCCCCCCGCACACCCCAGACCACTAGAATGCCATAATATATTATGTGGCTTATTCTGTTACTATTGTTAATATTATTGTGTTTTAGGTCTTACATTGTTAGTATAAAACATTTAAAGGGTTAACTACTAAAGTGGGAATTACTGGAAAAAAGTGAATTCAAACTAAGTTTCAAATTCAAAATCAGAATAGCCAAAATGAAAATAGAAATTAGCCGAAATATTGGCCAATGTAGCAATCTTGGCCTAAATAACCTGCTAATATAAAATTAAAAAAATAAGTGGGGTATGTTGTGACAATCCACTAATTAGATATGAGAATGGGCAATTTCTTTGTAGTAGCCCCTAAAGGTCAAATATAGTCACCCCTCTAATGATCACGGTGGCATGTTTAGTTGTACATTCATTAATCCTTGCTGAATAAATGACTTTATAGTAGTATATTTTTTATTTTCACACTTTCAGTTAATAATTTCTTTAAATTAAATTTAAAATGTACCTTTGTATTGTGTTTTGCAATCCTCCAGTACAGCACAGCTGGGAGACTATGACAGAATCTATTCAGAGCTACATTGGTTCTTTAAATTGGAACTACAGGGTCTCGCTGTTGGAAAAGGAAGTGAAATATGAAAATGGATACGGGGAGTTTGTAGAACCACACAAAATTAAGGTATTTCATGATGTCATATTAAGGCATGTTACAAAAAATGTCAGCCAGTGACAGATCCAGATTTTAAAGGGCTCACGTTTTAAATATTTTAAAAGGCCACAAGTTGTAGAAATCATTACAAACTAATAAATGTGTATACTTACAATGGTTTTTTTTAAGGAATAATAGGAATTGACATAGAACTGTACAGTATTCCACTTAGTACATTTAAACTACCGGAATGTCTGTATTTAATAATTCAGAACAAAGAAGCAATTTTGTTCAAGGGCCCTTTTTTTTATTATAATGTGCCACCCATAGGCATTGCTAGGCAGAGAGTTTGGGGGCTGAATCCATGGGTGTTGGATTCTCTACCCCCAGATCTCTACACGTAGCAGAAGGGGCAAGATGATAATAGTTTTTTAAAATGATTATTTAATTATTTATTATTTTTTTATTATGCATTATAATTTATTTAACTCAAAGCAGCCACCTGTTATAAAAAGAAAGATCACTACTTTACTGTTCTGCAAGAAAACTGCCAGACGGGTGCTTGCGAACAGAGCTTTGTTAGGTATCCCTCCTATATGTTAGAGTAGTAGTTGAGTTTTGCTTTGGACCAAAGTCCCAGGTGTTTCTAGAACCCAGCAACACATCTGATAACATCACATGCCCTTACTATACTTTGAGTGTTTGATTTGATCTACTTTTATAAAATGTAATGATCTCATCTTACTCACACAAAGTCAACGACATTTTCAAAGTTAAAAATCTTTAATAGGAGCATATTTTTCTTTATAGACAACAAACAGCAGAGGAAAAGTCAAGTATTTTACAGCAGAAAAATTTATCATAGCTACAGGAGAACGACCTCGATACCTCGGTATAAATGGCGACAAAGAATACTGCATCACAAGGTACTCGTTTAGAAGAAGCAATTATATCTACCTAGTGCTGGTCATACCTCACAATACTGAATACTGTCAGAATTATGGCAGACCCTGATTTGATCATTTGTGTATTGCAGGAGAATTATTAATGAACTCTTTATATGAGACTTACTTTTATGTGGCAGGGTTCTGTCACTGAGGGATTTCTTTTCTAATAACGTATGAATGAAAGACATAAAATCAGCAGACACAGAAATTGTAATGTGTTCCAGGGTAGTAAATTCACTCAATCATGCAACATCCATCCTTCGTAATGACATTCTACGTGCACTTTGCCATTCCATCAAGTTTTGCCATTTAATTACGTAGAATATAGACCTTGTTTTAAGAGACAATCACAGTATTAAGTTAAATATCACACATTATTAAATAATTACGTATTTCATTAGCCATTTAGAGTTTACATTGCTTCAATGCCTCAGATAACATTTTATTAATCGTGTGTATTATAAAAAAAATCTTTAGCAAACTTCACTTAGTCAATAGTTTATGTTCCTAAAGCGTACTTTTGGCAAATTAATGTAGAACACTATGCACTTATTTTTGGAATGGAATATAATATCATAATAGCACACAAAAAGTAATTGCAAATTTTATGCAAAAATATCCAAAACGGAGAAAGAGTTGATGATTTAATGGTGATGTACTGTTAGCTACTTTGGCTTAAGGGAACACTCCAAGCACCACAACCACTTCAGTGCACTGTAGGAATTATGGTGCTTGGAGTTGGAGTTTTTCTTTAAAGATCTACAATTCCATTGTTAATGATCACAATTACAAGTTTAGCAGTGTCTGCAGTGTTTTCATTTTGCTAATTTTCTTGAAATCCTCATGCGACATTAGATTTTGTTGGACCACTACTTAGACTGGATTGCAATATACATGCTTTTTTGATTTTCGGTGATCTTTTCCCTTTACCATTTTTGTCAGTAAAACATCTGGGGGGTTTTCTAACTCTTAACCAATTATTTATTTATTTTCTTGCAGCGATGATCTGTTCTCGCTCCCATACTGCCCTGGTAAGACTCTAGTTGTTGGGGCGTCTTACGTTGCCTTAGAATGTGCAGGTTTCCTGGCAGGGCTTGGCTTGGATGTTACTGTAATGGTTCGTTCAATTCTATTAAGAGGATTTGACCAGCAAATGGCCACAAAGATTGGTGACCACATGGAAGAACATGGAGTAAAATTCATCAGACAGTTTGTGCCAACAAAGGTACAGTTTCTTCTATGTGCTTCGGCACATTATACATTTTAGAATAAAGGTTTATTTATGCTGTTTTTATTTTTTGCTTCGCACAGTATCACATCGTTCTATGCGCATAAATATACATTAGCGCAATGCCAGAAGTTTCTCCTAGTGCAGTCCGCACACTAGAAAGAGAAGGAATCAGGAACTACTGTCATATAGTACTTTTAAAACAAGTGAAATTGTTTGTTGATTAATGAATTAAATTGATAAATTCTTTTAGCCGTTACTTTCTCTTTATACTGAAAAAGCACAGTTCTATTTCAAAATAAATAGGGACATACATACACGAGATATAATAGATTGATACGTTTCATTCGCTATTCAAAAGTCAGATTAATATGGTATTATTTTTAATCATTCACCCTCTTCTAGTTATGTAGGCACTGTTTTGTTTTTAATAGACATTCAAAGCATAAGTTTCATAGAGAATGAATATGGCATGATACGTTTGTAATTATTTGTTGTATATCTTGCAGGCACAGTTCATGTTAGTACATAGTTTGTGTGTCCGATTTCATATGAGTGTTGAAGAACACATCAAAATACACACTGTCTTGCAAACACTTTCAGAACAGGGCCAGTTTTCTTTTATTCCTGAAATAGAATAATGATACTACTATCTTCTTGATCGTTTGCATACAGTAAATATAGATGCCGGGCTAAATCCAGACATCTGTATTACAAATTATATTGCATGATGCTATTGTTGCTTTTATGCTCTGATATGTTCCTGTCTCCTACAAATATTGTAGAAGAATCATGTTTTCTTTTTTTTTGGTTATTTTATAAACTTTTGTATGTGTTTTTTTTTTTTTTTAGATAGAGCAGATAGAAGCTGGGACACCTGGAAAATTATTGGTAACATCTCAGTCAACTGATGGAACAGAGATAACTGAAGAATATAATACGGTGAGTGCACTTGTGCCTCTCTATATTTACAATATAAACGTTTACTTAGTGTAATGGTAAACAGGCGTGTGACTCTTTAAAGATTCAAATGTAAGTTGACTTATTGAAGAATACAACACTTTGTCACTGATGCCTTGATCCTTTTCTGTGTTTTAGGAAATGTTTTGTTGATCTGTTTTATGGGATATGCATTGTGAAACATTTTACAACAATGAAATGATCCTGTGCTCCTATTGCATTGTAGGTTTTGTTAGCGATTGGAAGAGATGCATGCACGAGGAGGATTGGTTTAGAAATACCAGGAGTAAAGATAAATGAGAAGTATGTAAACCTTTTTTTTTTCAAGATATTAACAAATGTAATTATTTATAATTATATGTAATTGGTAAAAAGGATTTAATAGAAGTGCGTCAATTGAAATTAAATATATACACATCCCACTGATTGAAAAAGCTGTTGACTTCTTGTGATTTGTACAGTTTTGTTAATGTATAGGTCAACAGAGGCCTGTTTGCATTTACCTTCTATGTTTTCATATCCCTCTTCTAAGACTCAACTTTCATTGCAAATGCAAATTCTATGACTTTTTTTTATAACCTAAATCTTCCATTCTCCTTATTAATTGTGTAGCCTCACTCATAGTGCTTTCTTGAAACTGATGCCAAAAAAGATTGCACTGTAAACAAAAATATTTTGGTGTGAAAATAAGGACTTTACAAATTCTTTTGACGAGTGCATTTCACAATTTTTCTTGGGAACCCTCTTTTTACAAATTTTCTTGTGTTTTGCTCCATCAGGACAGGGAAAATCCCAGTCAATGATGAGGAGCAGACAAATGTGCCGTACATCTATGCGATTGGGGATGTGCTGGAAGACAAGATAGAGCTCACTCCTGTTGCTATTCAGGCAGGACGACTCTTGGCAAGGAGGCTATATGGCGATTCAAAGTTAAAGGTTAGTTCCTCTTCATTCAAGCAATAGTAAATAAGAAGAGGACATTACAGTTCATAGCTCTGATGTACATTTTGTTTGATAAGAACTACTGCACCTAATTCCCTGGGTTGTAAGTCAAGAACTGGTGCAGAACTACATAAAGGTTGAATGTATTTTTCTACAAGTAGATTAATAAAAGAAAGAACAAATGTTTGTGTTTCTACATTTTTGTTATATGTTAATGCTTACGTCTCTCTTCTCTATTGAAGAATTTTTTTTTTTAATATTATTAAGGTTGTACGATGCAGGTATGCTATTGGACCATAGGGGAAGAACAGCAGAAGGCCTTCTTCCCGTAGATAGACATCCAATGTAGTTGGCCCATTGTTTCGACACACTAATACTCCTACACACTAATGATGACAGGGTTGTAATGCCACAACAGCAGTAGAGGTGTCGAATAACAAAGGAACTATCTCTCAGTGGATACATTTGTGCTCTATTTCATTGTTTTATTTTATGGAATTACCAGAATTCTGTCAGGGGTTTCTGGTCTTCTTATTGTGAATGTCTACCATGTGTGCCATGTCCGCACATTAACCTTCTTTGCTTTACTCCTTAGTTATAAGTCGTGGCAGCATGACCATTTAGTTTTAACCTCCAGAGTAATAGAATAGAAACAGCTTTTATATGATATCAACAAGAGGCTAAATTTCAAAGTAAAATATTTAATACACTGGAAATGTGAAGCTTTGAAAAGGCAAAATAAATAAATAATATTACATAATGGTTAACGTCAGTGCAACATACATTAACCCCAAATAGATGCTTGATTTGCCTGCTCATTAGTGAAATATGAAGATTGTAGCCTGTCAGAATCAAGAACGAAAGCATTTCAATGTTCTAGCTAATTGGCAGGTGTTATAATTCCTTCTTTCGTCCTAATCATAGTATGTGTGAGGTGTGCTCCTGGTATATTATTACCTGCTTGTTGATGTAATGAATCACTGTGGAAAAGTCTTCCTGTGGCTGTCCAATTCATTTCTCAGCTCGCTTGCTCTCAGAAGAAGAATATGCTGGTACGGCAAATAAATATAAGATCCGAGCCTCTCTTTTCAATTCTATCTCATTAGTGGTTTTAAAGAACTCTGCTGGGTTTCAGCTTGCTGTTTTGTCAGGAAGATTAATCTGAATTTTCAGATGTTGTTGATCCGAGTATTAACACAAGTGTAATTTTATAGGATATAGCAAAAAATGAAAGTATGATGAATTGGAAAGCCTATAACTTCTTGTAAAATGCCAGTATCATACTGCTTTTTTCAATATCAGAATTCTATCTGATAGTCCAGGGGTGGTCAAAAGGTTCACCTCCAGCCAGGTATTTCAACTCCCGGGATATGTAACAGCTGATATTTACCTTTAAGTCATGCCGGTTAAAGTCTAATAATAGATGTGTTGTGGACTACATCTCCCATGATGCGTGGCAAGCATTATGGCTGTGAGAGCATTATGGGAGATGTAGTCTACAACATCTGGAGTGCTGAAGGTTGGCTACCGCTAGTCTAAAGTGTTTACCACAGTCATGAAACAGTTACAAGTAAAAAACATTAAAGGACCACTATAGAAACATAGAAACATATACTGTGATGGCAGATAAGAACCATTTGCCCCATCTAGTCTGCCCAATTTTCTAAATACTTTCATTAGTCCCTGGCCTTATCTTATAGTTAGGATAGCCTTATGCCTATCCCACGCATGCTTAAACTCCTTTACTGTGTTAACCTCTACCACTTCAGCTGGATAGCTATTCCATGCATCCACTACCCTCTCAGGAAAGTAATACTTCCTGATATTATTTTTTTTTATTCTTTATTTTGGTTGTGCAGGTGGTTACAGATTATTAACGGACGCCACAACAGCGTATTTCAATGTTACAGTAGTTATGCAGTGGCATAAAAATTGCACATTTTTTATATTATGTAATGGATATCATGCTTAACAAAACGGCTACGTTGTCAAACAAAAGAAAAAAAAATGGTTAGTTAACGTAAAGTAAAACAAGATGTAGAACAACTGATATTATTTTTAAACCTTGTCCCTCTAATTTAAGACTATGTCCTCTTGTTGTGGTAGTTTTTCTTCTTTTAAATGTACTCGGTTTCCTGGCACTATAGTGCCCTGAGGGTGCCCCCACCCTCAGGGTCCCACTCCCGTGGCGCTGAAGGGGGAGGAAGGAGTTAATCTCTTACCTTTTTTCCAGCGTTGGGCTCCCTCGGCGCTGGGACTCTCCTCCCTCTTCTGACGTCCCTGGCTGAATGCACATGCGCGGCAAGAGCTGCGCGTGCATTCAGCCAATCCATTGGAAAGCATTCTCAATGCTTTCCTATGGACGCTGGTGTCTTCTCACTGTGAAAATCACAGTGAGAAGCGCAGAAGCGCCTCTAGCGGCTGTCAATGAGACAGCCACTAGAGGCTGGATTAACCCATGTGTTCTCTGAAACTGCTATGTTTACAGCAAAAAGGGTTAAACCTAGCTGGACCAGGCACCCAGACCACTTCATTAAGCTGAAGTGGTCTGGGTGCCTATAGTGGTCCTTTAAAGTGTTAGGATGCTGGTTGTTTACCTAAAAGAGGACCTTGCAATCCTTAAATGTGCACAGTTACGTTTTGTAGCCTTTCTCAAAGAGATGGTAGCAGGTGTCACAATGTCATCTCATAGGGTGGCTCGTCAATCACAGACCTCTCTCTGAAATCAGCTTAATAAAGTAATGGATGAAGAATTATTAAATCCCAAATCTAGCTTTGTGAGCAATAGTCACGTTAGATTAAGCCACTATCTCAAGAGCGATATCCAAGGCAGCATCAGTTGTCATGTATTTTACCTTGCTAATTTCTTTAGGGATCAATTCCTTTCATTTAAGGAACATTAGTTAGGCTGAGTTTGACGGATCCATGAATGCTAGTTTATTGAAGTTATGCATCAACTCTGCTATGTCGGCATTGAGGAATTTGAACTTCTGTATTGATTGAAAATGTCAAATGTTTAAAGATTCCGAAGATTCCTTGTTCTAAGAATTCTACTGCAAAGTCTAAAAGTGCAACAGTCACCATGGGACTTCACACTTAATACATCACCCCAAAAACCTAATTGAATTCAGGGTTCTACAAGTAACCTAAGCAATAAGGAAGCTTGTTCAACTGTTCTTTCCACGTTTAAGAATAATCAGTAACCTCTATACTCACTTATAATGATGGCAGACTAACAAGGGCAGACTTTAGATATACTATAACTCAGGAGATTCCACTTGACAGAAGAGAAGATACTCTAGTAGCCAGATCTGAAAGTTCTCTGTTAAATAATTATCAAAACGAATTATGTGGAATCGGATTTTAACTGTTTGCTTTGTATTTTACAGTGTGACTATGTCAATGTACCGACAACAGTGTTTACGCCACTGGAATATGGCGCCTGCGGCCTGTCAGAAGAAAATGCGATCCTCAAGTATGGAGAAGAAAACATAGAGGTACAAGAAGTAACTGCTGCAAACTATAGAGGGGGATATATATAAAAAGGCGGTTTAGGCTGTTTTTCTGGAGCATTTCCTAATTGCGTCTATTAATTCCGTTATTTTTGCAAAAATATTTCTTACCGAGTTTCTTTTGTCATTTAAGAGGCACCAATGTATAAAGGGTGGATTGACAGTTTAATATAAGAAAATGGCGCATGCACACAACGGTGCAAACCTTAAAGTGGATGTGACATGTTTTATACATAAACCCTGCAGAATCTCAGAAAACAGCTTACTATTACATAGACATTTGAAACCACATTGACTAGAATTAACAAATTACGCCATTCTAATGCTGAGTGTCATTATTTCATATCCAAAATACGACAACATACAGCCTTAATTACATAGAAAAGTCGGTAGGCATGAAGAGTATCAACTAGCGCTGTGTGTTAGCTTTAGATACGCAGGCCGTGTGGGATCCCTGGATAGCATAAACTATAGATGTTCTTGATTCATACTCAATGACCTATAAACAAATGTATTTGTAACTCTGCATGACACATAAAAGCTTCAGAGGAATTAGAGCAAAGCTCCTCTAAGGCACATAAGAAATACAGAAATATAATCTAAAAGAAGACATTCCATGGGATTATTTTATTCCTGCTCTATACCAGAGTATACTATATCCAGCTGTTCTTGAACTACTGTTCCTTTAATGCTTTGTCCCTCAAGAGGACGTCAAGGCATTGTTGATGTTCGACAGCAGCTGGAGAGATTCAGGATGGACATCTTGGGTCTAGAGCACAGATAAAGCAGACCTAGACAATGAACAGGCAAGTGAATAGGGGCTCTGTTGAAAATAATTGCCTAAAAATCATTAAAACATCAGAATATTGAGCTATTTGCAAATTACTTAGTATCCATGGTGACACTTTACGTGCCTTAAACAGGAAGGAACATCCAAATTCGGCATCGTCTTGTTTCTCTCCATAAGCACATTAAAGCAAGCAGACCGATGCAGTAGTGTGTATTTAGTTTATTCATTTTGGTACAATTGATGATACCCGTCAGTAAGTGTGTAGACATTTATGTACATAGCTCAGACATCCTTATTATTTTACAACAGTAGGCATGTCTTCAAACTGGCCCGCCTGATTTCAAATAGATATTGTTCTACGGGTTAAATCATAAATATCAGTATATTTGTTTGGTTTTTCATTTTTGTTTTAGAACATTAAACCTCTGGAATAATAGAGAATTGTGAGTTTAAACTTAGATTTGCGTAGACGTGACAAGAGAATTGAAAGATAGTTTGAAAGTTGAGTTTTCCAAAATTTTGAACTATTTGACTAATTTGACCTTCGGCCTCTCGAATTTGGACACAGGTGGAAAACAAAACACTTAAATATATACTTTGTTCTTTTCAGGTCTATCACAGTTATTTTTGGCCTCTGGAATGGACGGTGCCCGCAAGAGATAACAACAAATGCTACGCAAAGATCATCTGCAATTTAAAAGACAATGTAAGTTTGGGGTGGTGAACTGCATGTGTGTGCTATGCGACTGAATCTCATTACTGAGAAGCACTGCTCATCGATTGACAACGCACTTTGCCATCTGTGCTCATGCCTATCACATAATTTAACCCATAAGGCATATGAAAAACGAGCAAACCTATGACTACTATACAATCACTCAATAGATGTAGAGTTGAAAAAACACCTCCATAAAAATATAAACAGTAGCATTATAGAAGTATAACAGTTCAATTTTTTTTCTTTTTGTTTTATTACATTTATTGAAATTTTTTAATTTGCATCTATTTACAATGTATTTTTCTATGGTAAATCTGAGTGTAGTGATGAAATGGGGGAGGCTTCAGTTTGCAATTGGTAGCAAATGCTTTATAATAAGAAGCAGAATATACTACGGTGCCTTTACAGATTTATATTTTAACTCATTGTTTCATCCGTCTCCTTGAATCCAATTTAAGCCAATCCCGCTCTTTACAATATCTTTTTCCCTACATTACAGCAGAGACATTTCAAAGGAAACAATAAGAAAAAAGACCACCTACCTTCATTACTGTATTATGCAGATGATGCATTAATATAATGTAAAACAGGTTTATACGTTTTTGGATTATAAATGCTTATTGTTAATGTAACATAAAATGGACATTGAGTAGAAAACGCTGATGTTCCGTTTTATTTAATCACATCTCCACTGCTGGAGGTCACAGCAAAGTATTGATTAGATTTTTGTAGAGATTATCACCTTGTCAATACACGTGTCAGATCTCACCCCGTAACATCCATTCTATGCAAATACAAAATGCATCTATAATTATAGGACCAAGGGATTTAATTACAATAAACGGGAATAAAGTGGGAACGATGGATATGCTCCAATTCTTTTCAAACTTACACCAAAATGCCCAAACTTGAAAGAAAAATACCACCAATTAACCCATTTTTACAACTGGGCCATTTTAGTCTAAATTTGCCTGTGTCTGGAGCTGGCTAAGAGTTGACGCCCCATCTTTCCAAGCAGAAGATACAATCCATGGTATATAAAATACAACCAGAAAAAAATGAATAGTGCAATCACCTAAATTCCAATATACATATATATATATATGAGGAGTGAGATATATTGGTCACCTAAAAGGTTGGGAAAAAGATCAAAAGGGTTTATGTACGAACTGTGAAGAATTGAAAAGGAAATGGTGACTTTTTAAAATTTGACTATTTATGCCTAAGATTGGCAGTTTCCTTTACAATGCTTCACAGTTTATTGTCTATTGAATATGTGGGCTAGTAAATCACTTTCTTTGTGTTGGACGTTTATGGAGATTTTGTTAAAGGGCAAGTTTTACAAGAATCATAACTACTACAAATAATTTCAGTGGTTATAATGTAAGGTGACTATGGTTTTTGTCATCTCTCTCACTTGTCTGCATTTGACAGAGTCAAAAGGGTAAAAGATGATTTGACACAGCCACATCCTGCCTATTGTTTTAATATTTTGGAAATTTCATCATTATAGTGTCCCGAGCAGAAATTGGCGGACTTTAGGTAGTGTCAGGAATTCTGTTTTTTTTAATTTTATTATTAAACTGCTTGAAAATTATTGGTAAAAAACTTTTTGGACTGCATACAAAGCCTCGCTGCACTAGTTACAGTGCTAGTGCTTAATTATGCATTTTTTAATTGGTGGTATATTTAAAGGCTGCGTAAAAGCTGCAGGTCTCTATCTTCAAACCTTTGCAAGCCCTCCGCATCTAATCCCACCCACACTTTCTGTGGCTGTCCAATCATAGACTTGCCAATACAGCTCAATGAGAAGGCAGCTTTGCAAGGCAGCTGCTCTGGACAATTGCTGCCTCTTGAGTTCATCTCCACTGACCTAAACAAACTAGGAAGTAACAAGTTGTCTGTTTGAAAGCCAAGGAGGTGTAACCAAGTTCATTAGCAAAAGTGCCAATTTCTATTGAAATCTGCACTTTTTGCAAACATGGGAAAAGGGGACACACTCTTCACATATAAAACTTTTCAGCAAGCTAAAGTGCTCTAGAGCTTCAGAGCGTAGTTCCTTTTTAAACAGTGATGTTGGCCTACTGATAATTAGAGAGATACAGTTGGCGTCTTCAGAATATAAATATAGAAATATCAATTTTGATCTTGGTTCTGCCGATGTAGATGCCTTGAGTAAAGTGCAGGCCCTAAATTATAGAAATTCAATTACAATCATTCACAAGTGATGCGTACAGGGTATAAAGTAACAGTAAGCTCTTCCTATGCTGGGAAGCGAAATCTATTTGGGTTAATAGAGAGGTGGTTTATGCATTCAGTTCAGGAATTTTTCACCAGTACTGCAACAGATTACTGAAATATTAATGAAAATTTTAGCTTATAAAAGCCTTTTTGTAACAGAACTGTGAATCATTTTCATAGGAAGAAACAGACCGTCACGTTCAAAATATAGTGTAATAAGCTTAAAGCCCTGATTCCTTCTTCATCTTAACAAATATTTTTTTATTTTACACTTTAAACTTATAGGTGCTATTCATTGGGCCACAATTTTAATATTATATTTCCCTACTGGGTTTTCTCTCTGTTACTTGAATTTCAGCTACCACAATAACATTTTGCCAATCTTTGAACATAGAACAAAAAAATCCAGAAAGTTAATAAATTGAGCATTAAAACGATAATGAATTATTTATTTCTGTTGGAGCCAGTGCATGTCGTTATGTGCTTAAAAATAGTTTACTACTCTGAACAAGTTGGAAAAGATTGGCATCATGGACTGGGATGACTGATCTACAACTGGCCATAAAATAGCAGATAATACTATAGTCGTTGCAGTCAATGACAAAAATCAGCTTTTATGGATAGAACTTTCACTATGACCGCATGTAATATGCCTTGAGTCAGTGCAATAGGTATCGTATCTAGGATGTTAAATATATCTTCTGATGTGTAACAGTATTATATTAGAGTGATTTGGAACTTCATTCTCAATGAAGATTACTAGTTATACATCATTGTCTTCCGAGTGTTCATACACTGACCTCACTAGATAGCTAGCTAGATAGGTAGACAGACAGATAGATAGATCTATCAAGGTTTGCAAGAGTGTCATTAAGCATTACTTTTGAGGGACTTCCTCTTGTACCCACAAAAAGAGAGATTCCAGAGAAATAACCTGGCAGAACATTACAGGGACTGTCTTGCCAGATCTGGGACACTTTGGAGGTATGGTGCTCTTGAATGACTGAAGCATAGACTTTGTCAACAACATACAAGAGTAAGTTGGTACAGAGTCTTCTCAAGATTAAATCTTATCCTCCATGTTTGTTCTTCAAGATAGCTAGATGCAAATCTCAGACATTACTGAATACTATTACCTTATTAGCCTTTCATGTTTCAACTGGAAGTCTATTCCTGGTATATATTACTCTATATCGATAGTAGTATTTTCTCACAGTACCCTTCATTCCTGTTACAATACTGATACTAATATATTGATTCTAAAACACATTTTACTAGTATGTGTGATTGGCGCACTTTGTTATATCTCCAAGAATATTCATGTCTCAGCTACGAATCCATTTTCCTGTTGTCCAAACCCCTGGTTTTATTCATGCTACATCGGATAACTATGAAATAAATTACAAAGTCAAGTCAGGAAGAAAAAGAAAATGGCAAAATCAAATTATCATTCTCCTTGGTAGCTGGCTGCCACCTTGCACGACTCACCTGTGTTGTGCTTGGTATGGTAATGTGACAGGTCATAATCATAAGGATGATAAATAGCAAGCAAAGGTACAGCATCAATTCTAATAACCTGACTCCTGAAGGCTGCTGACCGTGATAAAATAGGCTAACGTATTTGCTGCATATCCAGCATAGTGATTACCTTAGAGAATAGAGCCTCTCCTTTTAAAATGCTCAAATGCCCACAGTGACATCTGCAGAATGTCCCGCATTGTCACTTTTGTCACTCGCAGTGCATGACAGTAGTGGTAAACGTGGAGTGATACTTGCTGGAGTTTGTATGTAAAAGTAGTTGTTTGCCAATTGTTTAATCTCTTGTGATGTCTCAATGAGCGGTCTGTATTGAGGAGTTATAGACTTAGGTTGTTTTAATCTTAAAGTTTCCTCTAAGTAGGTTGTTATAACTGATTGTAACTGCAGATTGTTTACAGTCCCACTCAGTAATAGACAAAAGGCTTTACAGTGGCAGTGGGACCACGTTCAGGAACATGTATTACAGGCATCTAGGACAAAATGATAATTCCAGCCTTTTTAAGGATGATAAAATAAACTTAAAGGGACACTATAGTCACCAAGACAACGTTAACTTAACAAAGCAGTTTTAGTGTACACAGATCATGTCCATGCAGTTTCACTGTTCAATTCTCAGTTAAATCACATTGTTTATGAAGCCCTAGTCACACCTCCTGCATGTAACATGCACAGCCTTCCTAAACACTTCATGTCAATAGTCATCTAATGTTTGAACTTCCTTGATGGCAGATTCTGTTTAATTTAGAATTTCTTATCTCCTGCTCTGTTAATAGCCTGCTAGGCCTTGCAGAAACCTCATGTGTGTGATTAAAGTTCAATTTACAGAGCAGTTGATAAAAACTTCTAAAGCAAGTTACCATCTGATTGAAAACTAAGCCATTTTTCCATGCCGGTTGTGTGATTCACAGGCAGGGGTGGTTTAGTTAGGGCTGCATAAACAGAAACAAAAGCGATATAACTGCTAAATTGCAGAGAATTGAGCAGTGAGACTGCAGAGGCATGGTCTAAACACTAAAACTGCTTCATTCAACCAAAGCAGTTTTGATGCCTATAGTATCCCTTTAAACTAATTTTTTTTTTTTTAAATACTGTTGGGATTAAGAATGTACATAGTCTTCACTTGCTCTGCTTTGATTTAAAATGAAATATCACACTAGGATACCAAACCAAACATCAAAATTTGGAACTAATGACAATTCAGTTCAAATCAGGGAGAACTTTATCAAACTAATTGTAAGGACAACTAAAATAAGAAACACTCAGGAATGATATTTATAGTTAACATTCATACATTAGTAAATGTATTAATTACTTTTTATCAATGCTAATGTTTGATACACATGAAAAAAACTTCAGTGATTTTGAGCCTGGTGTGTCTCTCTAATATTGCCCTACCAAAAAGGTCTGCATAACTTATCTTTCAGGCAAGTCAAGCAAATGTGATATTTTCAAATCAGTAAGATTAAATCAGAATTAATCTTAAATCTTTATAGTGTGCTTTATTTCCTAACCCATAAAGCATACCTTCATCAGCTGCAGAACTCGCCTCTGCAGCATAGAAATATACATCCCCTCTTTGCCCAGCACTTACTTCCCTGTTTTTGCTGGGTATTGTCCAATCAAATGATTTTCATAGGACAAATCTCTAGTCCACTCTAGTCCACTACCAATGTCTAATTATAGATTGTTAATTGATCACTTAATGAGTTTGTTTTACACTTTCACTCTGCTTTTGCCTATAAATGGTTGTTATTTCTAGTGTGATGTAGCTTGACAAAGACCCTTTCAGGGGTTGAAACGTTGTGTTGTCTCACTTGTCCAAATAAACACATTTGAAGATGTGCCTGGATCCTTTTTCTACCACTGAAATCTCCATTTCTCTTATCATAGAGATGGATAGTTGTATTACGAATTAGGGCACATTAGAGTAAAATTTTTACTTTTAACAGGATTTAACACATTCCTCCCTTCTTTTGCAGGAAAAGGTAATTGGATTCCACGTGCTGGCTCCAAATGCTGGTGAAATTACTCAAGGATTTGCTGCTGCAATAAAATGTGGTCTCACGAAAGACCAATTGGACTACACTATAGGAATCCATCCAGTGTGTGCAGAGGTACGGACAAACTGTTAATGTAATGCTTATTAATTAATTCTGTAAATGCTGGCATTGTCACAGACATTTCACATCACCATCACTGACATTAATGTGCATTATGAGGGTTCTGTTCTTACAAATATGTACCTTTTGCACTTCCTGAATAATTAGCGTATAATTGGAATTATCGTTATACCAGTTGTTCCAAAACCAGTCCTCAAGACGCCGCTAACAGTCCAGGATTTAGGGACTACCCAGTTGTGTCAAAGTGTTTTTTTTTTGTTTGTTTGCTTTTTAAAACATCTTAGACACAACTTGGTAATCCCTAAATCCTGGACTGGTAAAGGCGCCTTAAGGGACTGGTTTAGGAACCACTGCATTACACTATAGGTCTGAAATCATATTTGCCATTATTTTTTTTGTTCCAATATGAGAATATAGTCTTTACACATTCATGGTAAGCCAATTCTATGTCCCTTAAAAAAAAAATCTTTGCTGACTCATACTTATTAAATCATTGAGTTTCATTTCAGTCATCATATAAACATCTTTAGATACTTGAAGATGTGTGAGCCGCATCAGCTGTAATCAAACCAGACTTATCGGTAAAAAAAGCATTAAGTATGTGTGTGTGGGCCCATATTTTTATGGCTATCCGTGGCATCCAAAATGCTTGTGAATTGCATTTCCCACAATGCTAAGTCAATCTACAAGCTGGCTAAGCATCATGGGTAATGTAGATCAGTAATATCTAAGGTGCAATTTCAGCCACCAATACTGAAAATCTAGCCATATCCAAGACTCCAATAAGGTTGCCCCAATATGGCTGCCATGTCCATTATGTTTTCTGGGGCACATGCTATTTATACATGTTGATGGGCCGTGCCAAAAAATGCCTGCCCTGTAGTATATAGAATTCAAATGCTGCAGGTGGGAAATCACTAAAGGATTAAGGCATTCAGAAGCATATTAATTCCTCATACTGCAGAGTAGAACTTTATGTTTTTTGCTTATGAAAATGTACAAGTGAGAGGAGAGGTGCCCAAGAAAATACGGCAGATTTGGCAAAGACCCCGAAACTAAAGATTCAATCTGAGATCCTTCACATGCAGTGTGAGAAAGCGTTAACGGTGTCATTTCACTGACAGAGAGAGAAAAAAAATTATAGCAGCTCAGTTCCTCATTAAAAATCTGTGCTATGTCTGCCGTCAGAAAAAGGATATGGCTTCTAAATTATAAAATCCATCCGTAAAAGAAATTTGAAGAACATTAATTCTGGCTGCAGCAATTTGTTGCTTTATTGAAGGCTTTTCTGAGCATTTGCTCTTTTTTTCAAGGTCAGAACCGACATCTAATATGCTGACTTGTGAAAAGAACTTAGCTACAAAGTGCCTTGGGCCTACATTTATGAAATGTGTCTGTAGATTAGCACTGCTTATTTCTCATGGGTTCTACTTGGGAGCTAGGGAGTGCAAAATGTTTTAACATAAACTAAATTCAGACCTCTGCACAGGAGTTATGTGCAAATACTCTGAAGTGGCAGTACTGAGATATCCAGTCCGGCCACTAGAGGGCATTGTTCACATAGGGCAAAACTTGTCTTATTGGAGGATGTTCGTTACACATTAACTCGCTAACTTTAAAAGTGGACAATGAAATAGCAAGCAAAGAAGAATGGTATCTTGAAAATGCAATTTATTTAGAGAATTATCTCAATGAAGTGGTCTGGGTACCATGTGCCCAATCTGCAGAACTAGCAATGTTTTCATTGACAGTCACTAGATGTACTTCTGCTCAGTCCATCTGATTGGCATAACATTTTGCCATGCATGCGAACTAGCCTCCCATTGGGTTGGCTGAGATAATCGTAAACTCACAGGGGGCCCTAAGCAATGACCAGGGCACTATAGCGTTAGGAATACACATTTGTAATCATAATGCTTAAGTGTTCCTTTAAGTTTTTACTGATCTTAAACTTTACTAATAAATTATAAATTGGTATTAGATTAGCTCACTGTCACAGTTTTATCTTCCCAAAGGAAATATTTTTGTGGCAGTGATATATTTTGCACCAGTTCTGTTAACTAAAGCAGCTATACCTGTGTTGTGAATAGTAATAACATACCAATATTAACCCCTTAAGGACACATGACATGTGTGACATGTCACGATTCCCTTTTATTCCAGAAGTTTGGTCCTTAAGGGGTTAACATATAGCAATACCTCCCATTTGTATAACTACTTGAAGTCATTACGACATCCCTTTATAAGAAGAAAACTAATTTTCCAATGTTTTTTATGAAACATTTTTGCTACTGAAAGTCACATCATTGCTCGGAGAGGGTTTAAAAGTAGATACATCAAAACTAGTCTAGCTGAAACAAAATCTACATAGACCTTGGGTGTATGAGCTGTTATTGATGTGCCCACAAAAGATTTCTTTGATGCTGTTAATTACACCGCTTTTGATCAACCCTAGTTAGTCATATTTTCTGTAATTATTCTTTTACAATTACACTTTTGTATAATGTATATTTTATACGATGCAGCATGGCACCATGCCTAATTCTGTGTATATCCTTGATATCTGAACCACAACTACATTTTATACATTGGACACATTTTATACTTTATAAGTGTGGTTTCATGCAGAATGTTTTAATGCATGGATAGTCAAACTTCGGCACTCCAGATGTTGTGGACTACAATCCCCCATAATGCTCTCAGACCCATAATGCTGGCAAAGAATCATGGGAGGTGTAGTCCAAAACATCTTGAGTGCGAAAGGTTGCCTATGCCTGTTAATGGATACTCTGTGATTTTATACAGTGGTTGGCACAAACCGGCATTGCTTTGGTTTTATGACAGTATATTCAAATAATATATGCATTAATTAGTCTCCGCTCTCCATAAAATTTTTACCTTTCCATTTAAAAATATCTAATTATACAACATTTCCTTATTGTCTCTCTTTTTCAGATATTCACCACCTTAACTGTGACGAAGCGATCTGGTGGCAACATTCTTCAATCTGGTTGCTGAGGTTAAACCCTGCTGTTTGTCTTGTTTTGCCATTGTGTTGAAAGGGGGAAAAAAGATCAAGTCAAAGTCAATATGCATTTACAAAATGGACCAATAGACGGTGGTTTGTCATCACAAACTCGAAGATGGCTCCCTTTCTCATGGCAACTTACAACACAGCGGGGTTACAGCACAATAAACTGATGCAGGACACCTTCTTGGAGGTTTTATGAAGTCACAATCCAAAGCCAAATCTGGTGGATAACGACCGACAAACTGCTCACTCAGTTTATAAACATTGACGAAGAGGTTTTCTTTAACACACTTTTGTATGAAGATGATGATCTAAATAGAAGTTCTACTTGTAGAGTTTACACTTATGTTTTTATACTGTGAAAAAGTTTATTGAGCAAGTTTACACAAGAGCAGTGGTTATCAAAACACAAGTCCTATAGTCTGGTTGAGCATCAAGAAGAATCTGGTTCCAAAATATCTGGAGTGCCGTAATCTTTAATCAATCATGTCTGTGATGGCTTCACCTGTGGCAATAGTCAACAGATGACTATCCAGAGATCTTTCAATTTCCTCTCCAATGATCCTAGTTGTTAAGGAACAGTTTCCAAATGTTTAGTATTTATCAAAGGCCAGACTGTCTCTTTGACTCTTTGCTGCCTAAAGGACTATTTTGAGAGACGCTGCATAAGAGGACTACTAAAATATTGGTATAATTATTTTATTTCTAAAGTAGACTTAATTTATTTCTGAAATGTAAATGAAGAGATTAAATGATTGAATTGACAACACTCTTGCAAAATTTATGCCACAATTGACATGCTGTGACTATAGTGGAGTTTAAGGTTTTTTCCAAATCTGCTATTGTTGCCAAAGTTTTGCAACTCTGTTTTCAGTTCTCTACAATTCACAGTTTAGTGAATAAATTCCATTATGTAATGGAAAACTAGTTTGTTTTTTAAATATATAAATTAGTAGTATAATATGACAATACTACCACGTTCAGTAAAAATAATATGTATTAATGTATTAAATAAATAAACAGGATGGTTGTTATATAAAATTGCTATTTTAATTTGTTGGGTTTTTCTGTTTCTTTTTTGCTTAGGCTACTTATCCTCTATATTTAATAAATATATATTTTGTTTGGTCTAAAAATTAGAATTAAATGTTGAAATCCTCACAGTCCTCTATACTGCAACTCGAAGCCTCCATCTTGGATAACCGGTCAATCCTTGTTATAAACTCTGCCCACTCAGTTAGCAGAGAGCATGGAGCAGAAACATCAACAATGTCTCTGAATCTCATGAAATGCAATGCGTGCCCTAGTTGTGCCAGGATAGAACTGGCCAGTGATGCCAGTTGTTAAATATTTAATAGGTAAAAAATGTAAAAGGTATGGATGATTTAAGATGGCAGCCAACTTTAAGATGGCAGCCAACACAAAATGTATGGCTAAAGTATAATTATTACACTAGCCATATTGTGACCTCTTCAGGAACAAATCCATTTTAAAGGTTTAACATGTCTTGAAATGTGTGGTATTGTTTCATGTATAATCGAGACTGTGCAAAGACCCTGGAGAATGCTAGTTTAATTCATAAATACCTAATGAAACGTTATTCATAGTAGCCACACGTCACAGTAATCTTTTTTTATTTAGCTGTGCCACTATTATTTTCTAGTCAAACATTTTATGCGAAATATAATTGCATAAAGCATGCTTATGGAAGATAGAGTGGCTAATTAACAATCTCTGCTGAGACCAGCAAAATACCCTCGTTCTTCACAGCAACTGCAGTGTATGAAATGTTACAGGAGTTTGAGTTAACCCCTTAGCTACTGGCTGTGATTACTATTACTTCAATGACAACCTTACCTATTTGAGATTCCCATACCAAATACATACTCAGTTTTTACTGATAAGGAGCCCAGAGAGTACCATTATTGTGACCGAGCCCCCCACATGCAATGTGGCAGCACAAACTCACATTGCATTCTAATTGGAATTTTTAGTCTTTCCTGGCTATCAAGACAATGATCAGTGATACCATATCTTGTAAACTGGAACAGCTTCTCTAATTTAGAGGAAATCAGCCTGGCTTGATTACACTGGTAACAACATTAAAGGGACATTACAAAGGAATGTTTTATCATCCAATTATTGTGTGCACTTTCTAAATTATTGCAAAATACAAAATGATTTTCAAGTTCAGTCTTCATTACATTTTCAAATTCTGAATGCTTCTGTTAAGAATTGCCTAAATTTCTTTCATTTTATCTTGTTTATCCTGCAGAGTAGAGCTAAATACAGGGAGTGCAGAATTATTAGGCAAATGAGTATTTTGACCACATCATCCTCTTTATGCATGTTGTCTTACTCCAAGCTGTATAGGCTCGAAAGCCTACTACCAATTAAGCATATTAGGTGATGTGCATCTCTGTAATGAGAAGGGGTGTGGTCTAATGACATCAACACCCTATATCAGGTGTGCATAATTATTAGGCAACTTCCTTTCCTTTGGCAAAATGGGTCAAAAGAAGGACTTGACAGGCTCAGAAAAGTCAAAAATAGTGAGATATCTTGCAGAGGGATGCAGCACTCTTAAAATTGCAAAGCTTCTGAAGCGTGATCATCGAACAATCAAGCGTTTCATTCAAAATAGTCAACAGGGTCGCAAGAAGCGTGTGGAAAAACCAAGGCGCAAAATAACTGCCCATGAACTGAGAAAAGTCAAGCGTGCAGCTGCCACGATGCCACTTGCCACCAGTTTGGCCATATTTCAGAGCTGCAACATCACTGGAGTGCCCAAAAGCACAAGGTGTGCAATACTCAGAGACATGGCCAAGGTAAGAAAGGCTGAAAGACGACCACCACTGAACAAGACACACAAGCTGAAACGTCAAGACTGGGCCAAGAAATATCTCAAGACTGATTTTTCTAAGGTTTTATGGACTGATGAAATGAGAGTGAGTCTTGATGGGCCAGATGGATGGGCCCGTGGCTGGATTGGTAAAGGGCAGAGAGCTCCAGTCCGACTCAGACGCCAGCAAGGTGGAGGTGGAGTACTGGTTTGGGCTGGTATCATCAAAGATGAGCTTGTGGGGCCTTTTCGGGTTGAGGATGGAGTCAAGCTCAACTCCCAGTCCTACTGCCAGTTCCTGGAAGACACCTTCTTCAAGCAGTGGTACAGGAAGAAGTCTGCATCCTTCAAGAAAAACATGATTTTCATGCAGGACAATGCTCCATCACACGCGTCCAAGTACTCCACAGCGTGGCTGGCAAGAAAGGGTATAAAAGAAGAAAATCTAATGACATGGCCTCCTTGTTCACCTGATCTGAACCCCATTGAGAACCTGTGGTCCATCATCAAATGTGAGATTTACAAGGAGGGAAAACAGTACACCTCTCTGAACAGTGTCTGGGAGGCTGTGGTTGCTGCTGCACGCAATGTTGATGGTGAACAGATCAAAACACTGACAGAATCCATGGATGGCAGGCTTTTGAGTGTCCTTGCAAAGAAAGGTGGCTATATTGGTCACTGATTTGTTTTTGTTTTGTTTTTGAATGTCAGAAATGTATATTTGTGAATGTTGAGATGTTATATTGGTTTCACTGGTAATAATAAATAATTGAAATGGGTATATATTTGTTTTTTGTTAAGTTGCCTAATAATTATGCACAGTAATAGTCACCTGCACACACAGATATCCCCCTAACATAGCTATAACTAAAAACAAACTAAAAACTACTTCCAAAAATATTCAGCTTTGATATTAATGAGTTTTTTGGGTTCATTGAGAACATGGTTGTTGTTCAATAGTAAAATTAATCCTCAAAAATACAACTTGCCTAATAATTCTGCACTCCCTGTATAGGTCCGAGCATTTATTCCTTAAAGCCGTTCTGGCAGCCTCCTCACCCCTCAAAAATTAAATGTAAAATTTTTTTTTTAGTATTTCATAAAGATAATATAAAAAAGAAAACGATAATACTTACACTGATTGTGTTGGAATTTTAGTGACATCCCAACACAGTCAAAATATATCATAAGACAAAGTAAGGACTACTGATTGACAAAATCTGAGGACAGTAGGTCCATATTTTGTCACATGATGTCCAGCAGAGGAAAAATATAATAGTTTTGGCTGTGACAAAAAGGCATTGTCTATGCAGACTCCCTTGGTGTTGTACCCTTCTTGCTGATGTTGGCTCATCACGGATGCCCTAGGTGGACATGGCAGAAATAGAAAACGGTCCAGGCAAAGACAGTGTAGGTCGAAACGTTGTGAGTGGCAGTGGGTTCAATAAATTTAGCTTTTTTTGTATCCTGGAGTGCCTGGACCATTTTCTATTTCTACCTTATCAAGTGGTCCCTGGTACTGGGACTGGCCTGGTTGCACTCAGATACATGTTATAGGGGATTGAGTGCATTTCCACACCCTTGTCTTGGTTATACCTGGATGGAGATGGCGGCAACTGCAAGGGACAGCTTCACTGCACCCCAGCCACTACGAAGACAGAGCCAATGCCAAGGCTGTTGAAGTCAAATGCACAACTATACAGCTCTCTGATTAAAACATGCACAAGAAAATAATTTAAAAAAAGAGGGGACCTGCAATTAAAAAGACACTCCACTGCCCAAATCCAAATAAAAATCACATAATAGTCGATATGCCCCCAATGGAAACATGCATGGATGTTGTAACGGATCCCCTGTACGCCGACTGAGTATATCCGTTGTAAATCTCCCGAGACCCAAGGTAAAGCAGTGATTATAGCTCTAGTATACCCAAACATCAGCCAAGACTTGATGAAGGGTACAAGAAGAATGTTTTATTATGGCCCAGTGGCTTGTTTATATACACAGACCCCCAGCAGGGGGTCTCCATTCACTTGTACAGTAAGCCTGCCCAGGCACTTCTGTGTCTGGGAGATAAGAGAGCCTGCTTTTGCTTAAACTAATTATCTCCCAGGCACAAGAGATACAAAATATTATACAAAAGCACCCCAAAATACACATAACACATATAGGAACTCCCACAAATATTATATCCCCGGATAGTCTGGATCTGATGCCCACAGTGTCCAAATAGCGCTCAAATTCGACGAATACAGCCGTATCGCCACCTGGATAAAGTTTTGACCGACTGCACATGTGGCGTCTGCCCAAATTAGTTCCAGAGAAAAAGTGATAGCGGTCGGTCACTTTTGAGAATTTCAAAGCTAACAAAATGTCGAACGGTTTCCCTGGCTCATAGGTAGTGATTGCTCGCCTGGTTCGTGCGAACAATCCTACCGAACAGCGCTCTCCCGTCTTCTTGAGAACAGAAGCAGGAGTCGACACAACATCACCGAGGTTCACACATGGATGTTTCCGACTTTGAATTCCATATGCTCGACGACCAAGTGCCGCGGCGTGCGTTCGTGAGCACTTAAGTTTGTGGTTAGTTTGTAATTAATGAGCCAGTGGGGGTGGTCGGAAGATTGCAGCTGCTGAACTGAGGAAACGTATTTGTGTTCGGGGAAACTAGAGGGGAACTGTCCTTAGAATATGAGAAGTAGTGAGTTTGTCACAAATGTAATTATGTATATTTTTACATTGGAATGTATTTCAAATAGCTTGCAAAAGTTATAGATCTCTTGTCTGATGTCTGCTGCCTTTGCAAGCTCTCACCATCAAACACCGCCCAGACTTTCTGTGGATCTCCAATCACAGACTTCCCAATGCAGCTCAATGAGAAGTCTTTGATAGGCAGGTGCTTTGGGCAATTGCTGCTTATAAAGTTTAGCTCCACCAAGAAGTAACAGGACCAGTTGTCTGACAGCTGGGGGGTTGTAACAAGATTAATTTATAAAAGTGTCAATTTCTATTGAAATTTGCAGTTTTTGTAGAATGAAAAAAACAAACAGACTTTTCACACATAAAGCACTTCAGGAAGCTTAAGATCTATAGAGGTCCCTTTAAACCCTTCTTAAAGGGACACTATAGTCACATGACCAACTACAGCTTAATGTATAATCATTGCCTTCATACA